AGCATGGAGAGATAAGGTATGAAATATACAAGCCACCATAAATTAGGATGATAACAGGAAATACTTGTAATGATATGTACAGACGGGATGTTGTCGACTATTTGTATTAATCACCATCCTAGAGTAATGTTTTCATCCTGAATTATTACAAAATGTTCTGATATAAACACCGGGGACGAGGATATTATCGTTAATATAATGGGTTACAAGGAAATGTAGGATTGAGATAAAAAAAAAAGGCCGTTCTTGCTATAATATACTCTTCAAAAAAGAGGGGATATTGAAATGCAAATACCTATGCAGGTTGCGATATGATAAATAGTCATGGACATTCGACATGCTTTGAGAGTATGTTCACAGACGAAGAACTTATCGCCCCAACAGAACCACTGAGCTGCACATGCGACACGCAATAGCGCCATACACGTGGGAGGGGTTCATTGTCAAATTTGACACTTCAACGAAGGGTTGATGAAAACTGCCGCGTGCTGGATTATCTATCCATGTTTACTTTCCTATCGGTTCTTGCATAAGATTTACTGTTTAGCGTATCTTTGCTTTAGTGTGTTACGTTTAATTTGATCGGGAGACTTGTTCGTCGACATCAACTTCAACCGACAACACTGCAAGAATTGGCCGTGGCACTGCAAGAGGAGTGGGTCAGATTGCCCTAAATCGTGATTGGACGGTTGATCAGGAGCATGCCACAACGAATTGCTGAATTTCTGAGAACTGGTGGAGTAATTACTTATTATTAAGACAAAAATCCAAAACGTCCATTTTTACTTTTGACGGTGTATCTCTTTGCGACTGAAATAGGACCGTCAGATACACCGCCCATATGAACTGTTTATGTTCATGTGTAGGCAATTGCCCTGTTATTAACATATACTGCATTTCCGCAGTTTTTTATTGTTTCTGAATATTCCCTACCTTTTTTGAAGAGTATAGTTAAGAATAGATAATGAAAAATAAATATATTTAAAATTTCAAAACCAATTAAATCTCGGTCATCCGATGACTATAGAGTTGATTGTCCAAATAATATTTTATTTTACATTTGGAGCCCAAAAAAGACCTGCAATAGGCAGATTTCGCTCTTACATAATGCATCCTGAAAACCAGACAACAACAAGATGTAGGTTATTGCCATTTCATAATAACCAACTTTACAAGTATACAATATTATTATAAAATAAGTAATCAATGCTTTTATTATAAGAGGTAAGTCAACAATTATGAGTTGCCCCATTACGGTATTATTGTGACATTTTAGCCGAGAGAAATATTATACTTATTTTAACTTACTACGTATAAAAAATATAGATAAAATGGTCAACATGGTGTTGATTTCAATATTTTATTTTGACAACCCGTTCTAGAATCGAAATACCTACATTACAAATCTTGTGGTTTTCCTGTTTGCGGAACACATAATCGTAAAGTACGCTTTATCTTAAGGGGTAATGGGAGTTATGTACTAAATAACATTAAAGGCACAGCATGCAAGAATACGATTCCAAACTCTTTATTCAAATCTATCCACTCTAACCTAACTCTAACTTAACATCTTACACAAGTGTCTACATTGTACCTTCATTTATTTCGCCACACCCTTCTTTAATTTCTGATTTATAAAAAACAAAAACATATACTCCCATATCATTTTATGTGGAGTTTTGTTTGCTTCAGGGTTTTCTTAATTACATGTTACAATAAAAAGAGATATTTGATTCCTGTATTTGTGGATCTCTTGGCACGTTGAGTCTTTAATCGTTCTAATCTCGCGGATAATCCCCTTTTATTCCCTCTTAATTACAATAATACTTTTGTGTAAGTCTTTCGATATAACCTGGATTAATATTTCAGCTGTGTAATACTGAATATAAGACCTTGAGTGCTATATTCTAATATACTGTCCATGCTCTCGAATTATAGCAAACAGATATACCAATAAATTCATTTATAAACTCGTATCCAAAGTAAACCAGTGCTGGTAAGTGTACGATTTGACATAACGGATTGCAACCTCAGTCATACTAGTTTTTTTTTCTCAAACACATTGAAATTGTTTGGCAATTCATGACGAGGAAACCCTCTTGTTTTTCAGTGTTTTGTGGAGTTATTATTCCAGTCACGCAAGCCTTGTAAATAATTTATAGAGATCCGAGGTTTTGATTTGTTTGCTGAGATTACTTAGCATTTCTTAAGCAGGAACCCTCTTGAAATTCCGACCCGTGCGTTCATTTTACGTAGAATTATTGCAAGTCACAGAAACTTGTAAACGCCCTACAAGCCTTTATCTTGGTTTAGCTTATTTTACATCGCATCATACTAGGATCCCTTTTGTCTGCAACACAAAGCTGACAGCGAGCGCATATTCGTTGCCTGACGATGCTACACCTTGTTTAACTGTGTACAAAAACAATAAAAAAATTTATTAATACCATCTTGGGAATAATCTTCATTGCTTAGGATTAACATTCTCCTTATCCCCAAGGATTTCAATTTAGTGCTCGTTAAATGTTCCATCTCAAGATTTCCAAAGCAATTACCCTACTCGGTTGTGGTTAAATGCGAATTTAGTATATTATTTCACTTACTAAATTTGTTTGTTTGTTTGTTTTCAGGTTATTTGACTGACTAAAATACGAGAAATGGGCGCCAAAGATGAAATAACGCCTGTGCGACGAAAAGAATCGCGAGTTCTTTCTGTAATAAACGAAGACACATTAGTAACAGATAATGACTTACACAGTGATGATTCCATCAATATAGAAAATAGAGACATTTCCAAGAAAATCCGAACACGTAAAATTGCAACACTCGGTCCTACCGAGGCAGATCTAACATTGCTTAAACACACTGCCAATAAGCTAAATCTGAATACAAGGCGACCAAGTGTGTTAGCTTGGAAAGCAAAGTATGTTGACACCCCAAGAATAGTTAACGACACAACGCAGAAGAGTACGAAGACCCCCGAAGTTGATAAATTCAGTAGTGCCAGATACGACAGAATAAACGATTCTTTGAAATGGATTCGGAGTCAGTTGGTAAGATAGACTTAAATATCACAATCCACAATCTTTATGCAAGATTGAATTGCACCCAAATGTAACCCTCCATATCGAAGTTTTGCGGTCGTTGGCTTGCACCATTGGATTTAAGGTTACTCAGGGACAATTGTGTAGTCAATTGGAGGCAACAGACACAGTACAATTATTTTAGTAATGCGTATAAAAGGCCATAGCAAAGTACACCCGTTTTATAGACATACACTGTGATGTAGTGGCACTATAGATATGTCTAGTTGCCCGTTATCATTTTTAAATTATAGAGAAATGCATAGTTTATAGTTGTATTCGATATTTATAAATCCAATATCGTCACACAACAATTCTGAATAAGGTATTGTCTTCCTTCTTTGAGCGGCATTTAGCAATTGACACACGTAATAAACACAAAAACATAATAAGGAACACAACTATGCTTGAAAACGTCGAGAGAACCCTCAACCAAACGTCGCTTTAATTAAAAGAGTAATTTTGTTCCATATTACGTTTTTGTGTTTATTGGATTATTGTCTTGTTGATCCTTTAATAGAGAAATGGTTGTCAGGCTACAGAGTCATTGTCCTTTTCCGGAAAACTTTAAAAATGTGTTAGAGAGCACATGGTTGACTTGTTTCAATGTTTTCATCCACATCCACAGTTCCGAGGTTAGATATAGATTTATTGCCTTTTCCTTGGCTAAATCAAAACTAGTGAAGTTTACAGTACATCTTGTAAGAAATCAGATTAGAGGTTTGGTTTGTTATCGAGTTACCGTCAAAAACTCGTTGTTTCTTCTCGAATTTAACAATAAAACATTTTTTCTTCCAGACTGAGATGCGAAAAGTGGATCAATCATTAGCCAGTCAGTTTCTGGGAATAAGGAAAGAATTAAATCAACTTAAATTACAGAAAAGTTGTGAAGAGCATGAAGATATGCTAGATGGCGCTACCTTCAATATGGAAGACTTTCAATCTTTATCCAAGTTCTTAGATGAACCACTTGGTAGTTACGCTCCTAGTCCCTTAAAACATGTTGGCATCACCAAAATGAACCTCAGTTCGCGTCGCTTTTCGACGTGTTAAAACCGACGATATATGTGCTGAAAACCAATTTGGATGGTATTTAACAACATAGAACCTAAGTTTATGTAATCATAAATTTCGAAAATATTTGTTACTTATTGGAAGTTTCAAGATGTGCTATGCAGCTTTGTAATCTCATTTTAGGATGTGACAAAATAGAATTTCTTTTCTTTAGCGCAAACAGTTTTAACTTAAACCTAGACTAATATGCCACCTTTGTGATAGTTTAACATACTAATGTTAACGTTTCAATTAAGATAGTACTATATGGAACAGCATCGTCTTTTGAAAAATCGAAGTCCATCCATCGATGTGTAATTGCCCAAGGAACAAGCATGCCAGGTTTCATGTCGATCGTACAGGAATTGTCGGAGTTCGAAGAGCGTCAACCCTACCCCTAAGAACAAAAGAGAGAGCGAGAAATGCGGCTTAACGTCCACTCGACACAAACTAGGTCATTTCGGGACTAAAATATGGTTTAATTTTATTTCAATAATTCGCTTGCGCGTAGGGGTCTTTAGCAGTGGGAGGAAACCGGAGGTCCCGGAGAAAACCCACGAGGTTGGACAGGCGACCCTACTCCTTGTCACGTACAACTGGGGATTCGAAACCACGCCAGTCGACTCAATGACAGACTTTATGATACAGCGCGCGCACGCTAACCATTCAGTCATCCCCCCCTAAGAACAAAGAGAAAAACAAGAACAGCAAGATGAATACCGTGTGGGGTCCAATTCTAGCGCAAAGAGTAAAGTTAACACAAAAATGGCGTGTGGACTAATTACTATTAAATAAATTAAAGGAGAGTGTAGTTTTGATGCATTTTATACTTTATTAATTTCAAAGTTTTTGATATCACTAGATGGAAAAAAAAATATATTGTATATCTAAAGTACATGGAAATTTGATTGTACGTAAATTTAATTTGCATTAATTATTAGTAAAAATATAATCAATGATTAGGAAGCATATTTATCATGTATATTTGTGTAATGATTTCAATGTATATGTATTGTTTTTAACTGCTGATCTGTTAATTTAATAAATCTTTGAACTGTTAAATTATCACATTTTTATACTTCGAAACATCATGGATTTATCATAAATTCGTAGTTAATAAAATTACTGGGTTATTCACAGTCTGACCACATTTATTAAGGGGCATCTGTGTGTAATCGTCGCATCCCACGAAACCCAGATATTGTGACTAACACAACAGTACTGGGCAGACCTTAGACAGTATTATTTCACACACATGAAAGATCAAACTTAATTTGATTTTGGTTAGTGATAAATAAGGGGGTACCTTATCCGCGAAGGTCGTAAAGATACTGCATAATAATACCCCGTCAGACCTGGGTGACGGAAAATGGTCTCAGAGCGCATCAAGATCGCCATAAGCGTGGTAAAAACGTGGTGGAAACGCCAAATTTCGTGCTGTGGTCTCCATGGTCGCCAATGATCGCCGAGTCACGGCGTTTGTTTTGAGCATGTTCAAAACAAACGCGAAGGTTCTGCGATCTGACCTGAAAAGCTGTGAGAACGCGGCTTTTTTTCAAGTTTGTAATTTTTTTAGACATATTCTCGAGTTGTGTTCAAGTTTGCCGGCGATCTTGTGCATTTTCTGGTTGTCGTACAGTCGCTGCAGCGAAGGAAGGATGCCACACCGGTTTGACGCGGGGCATTAGGGGTGCAGGCCTTTCCACATGTCTGCTAAAACAGATTATCACAAGGTTAATAGTACATGTACTACACAAGCAAACTTACGGACATGACAAAATAAGACAATGAAGTAATTGTAACTGTTACATATAAGGATATCGGTAACTAATCAAATTCGGTAGGTAGTTGTTTAGTATAAACTTGATCAGCAGACCCACATATCATCCATCGTTTAACACCTAAACTCCCTTGCGGTTAGGACAGCTATCAATTACATGTATATTTCATTAAATGCTTTCAATTTTATGTCTTTAAAGCATTGGAACTGTATTTTTTTAACTGATAGTTTCTTGATTTGTTTACTGGGTGTTACCTGGGCCATATATATAATATGGTCAACCAGACATAGTCGCCATATTGTTACCTAATCTGTATGTTTAAAAGATCAACATTAGAACAAATATAAAACAATCAGTGTCTGTCTATACGATCGAAATAATAATTCGGCATACGATCTAGTAGGTCAGAGGTGGGAATTAAGTAAGAATCTATAATTGCATATCATTAAGAATAGGTAAAAAAGGCCATTCTGTTACCCACTCATAATTTAGTTAATTGTTGGCCATACTCGTTCAATATATTATGACCCGGGTGTTACATAAAACTATAATCCTCGTGGATTCCTTTCCTGACCATTAAAACACAACCTAATCCCAGCAATAAATAAATAAAATAACAATAAATAGTTTTTAAGATTTGCTTTCATCAGAGTCCGGTGGAATAAGTATCTGTGACGTTAAATAACCATGATCAACAAAGTCATCGCGTCTGGCAATATTGTCATTTAAATCAATTCCAGCTATTTTCGTACTGTTGTTATCTGTGGAATGGTGTTTCGTATCCAGCGACAAGGGGTTCGAAGTGTCTCCACGCTGGTGAGTATCTGCAGGTTGGTGAATTTCTACATGAACAAGGTTGTCGGGTTCTTGAAGTCCATATCGGTCTTCTGGATTTATCCGAACTTGATCTGTAATATTGTTATATGGGCCATTTATGGCACTCTTTTCAGGGGACTTTTTATCAGTCGAATCCATGGGAGTATAATGATTATCATTGACATTCTGATGAGTATCTGCTGGAATAGCGCTGCCCGGTATTTGAAGTCCATATCGGTCGGCTCCATTTATCGGAACGGCCCCTGTAATGTTATGATATGGGCCACCTTGGGCACCCTTTGCAGGAGATGTTTCCCGAGATGGCGAATCCATACGAATATAAGGTACTTCTTTCCCGAGTTGATGAGCATCTGCATGAACAGGACTATCTGGTTCTTGAAGTCCATATCGATCTTCTAGATTTATCCCAACTGTATCAATATTGTTATATTGGGCACCTCTGGCACTCATTTTTGTGGATGCTCGAGGAGAAGTTGAATCCATCCGAATATACTGGTTGTCTTTCTCGGAAAGGTGAGTATTTACAGGCACGGTGTTCTCTGGTTCTCGAAGTCCATATCGGTCTTCTGGATTTATCTCAACAGTTTTAATATTATTATACATGGCACCTTTGACACTCCTTTCTGTGGATGTTCCAGGCGAAGTTGAATCCATTCGTGTGTACTTGTTGTCTTCCTCGGACGGATGAGTATTTACAGGAACCATATTGTCTGGTTCTTGAAGTCCATATCGGTCTTCTATAAGATTGTTATACGGGACAGCTTTGGTACGTTTTTCTGAAGACCCTTCCATAGAAGATGAATCCATTCGAATATAATGATTATTTTTTCCAGACTGATTAGTATTATCAGGTACAGAGTTGTCTAATTCGTAGGATCCATTCCGGCCTTCCCTCAGCTCCGCAATAGTATCGTATAGACTACCTTTAGAGTATTTGTCCGTGGGAGAAGACGCAGGGATGTCCATGTAATGATTCTCATTTTGCGATTTACTGAGGTTTATAGCCGGTCTTTTGTGTGCTTTATGTCGACCACGATCGCCTCTACATTGACTACAGTCGCTGCCATTACTGGAACATGTATCGAAGCCTTTTGTATCGTCAATAACGATTTCTGGCAATGGCCTGTTTGCAGTATGGATTCGTGGCAATGTCGTAGTTTGATTTCCATCAATAACATCATCATAGCCTATATTGGAAATGGCTGCTATTTGTGGATGACGAAAGTCGCCGTTAATATCGTCATAAATGGGCCCACTTTGTTTTCTTTTATAATCTACGACCAGGGGTCTCTCCTTACTCCTGTAAATACAACATAATTCGTCATAATACATTTAAACTGGACATCATGGTTTAAGATAAAGTAACGTCGCATAGTAATTTAATTAAATGTAAAGCCATACAAATATGAGTATATCGACGACAACGTAATGTTACGAAGGGCAACATAGAGTAACCAGTGGCGGCGCCAGTTGTCGGTGGTTGGAGGGGCAAAGCTGGGGCAAAGTCCAAGGTTAAGGGGGCAAAGGCATGAGCTTCAACTAGGGGTAGGTGGGCTCCGCCAGAAGATTTTGAAAATCAGGCTGCCAGAAATGCAGCCTGGCAGTATTTCAGGCACTGATCGTTGAGGTAAAGTGTCAAACGAACGGACTTCCGAACCTCGACGTAGCCCACTCACGAGCGCCAAAGTAGGGAGTCCTTACGGAGGGTATGGGGGATCTCCCCCAGAAAATTTTGGAAAATAAACTGCCAGAAATAATGTCTGACAGTATTCAGTCAGGCAGCGATCGTCGAGATAAATAGATATGACCAGATACCGTCCATCGCCTGATCACTGGTTTATCCGACCAAAGAATAAAATGTCAAACAAACGGACTTACGAAACTCTGCGAAGTAGCGAGTCCTTGTGGGGGGCATTGGGGACCTCCCCAAGAAAATTTTGAAAAATAGACTGTCGGAAATGTTGTCTGACAATATTCAGGCACCGATTAGAGATAAATAGAGCTTATCAGATGCAGTCTGTCGCCTGATCACTAGTATTTCAGGCACTGATCGTTGAGGTAAAGTGTCAAACGAACGGACTTCCGAACCTCGACGTAGCCCACTCACGAGCGCCAAAGTAGGGAGTCCTTACGGAGGGTATGGGGGATCTCCCCCAGAAAATTTTGGAAAATAAACTGCCAGAAATAATGTCTGACAGTATTCAGTCAGGCAGCGATCGTCGAGATAAATAGATATGACCAGATACCGTCCATCGCCTGATCACTGGTTTATCCGACCAAAGAATAAAATGTCAAACAAACGGACTTACGAAACTCTGCGAAGTAGCGAGTCCTTGTGGGGAACATTGAGGACCTCCCCAAGAAAATTTTGAAAAATAGACTGTCGGAAATGTTGTCTGACAGTATTCAGGCACCGATTAGAGATAAATAGAGCTTATCAGATGCAGTCTGTCGCCTGATCACTAGTCTATCCGACCAAATACTTTTTTTTTCTAAAAGTAACCCAGTATATCAACGTTTCATTTGCCAAAATGTGAAGTTAATGTTACCCAAAGTCTACCATAGTTTAATCCCAAATCAACGTTTAATCTACCAGAGAGCAACGGTACATTACCGTTATATGTTTAAAAAAGGCAACGCCAATTTATTTCGTTTCGGTTTTTATAGTTAAAAATTTCGTATTACTTGTCTTTGCTACACTAGGATGTGGAAGAATTGTTATATAATCCGCGTTCTGGTTGATGTGAGGGATTGGCCAATGAAACGGTCTGATGTGACGAGTCTTGGCGAGCAGTGCACGGAACCATGGATAGCCCATTAGAAACATCAACGCTGATTGGTTAATCAAGTGTCTGACGTCATAGGATCAAACGCCTCTCGGGTGACTCCCGTTTAGATCTATTTAATAAGGCCAACTTCAAGTTTGATCAAAGATCACGAGATGTAAACATGGCTAGCGGTAATTCCAACCCTAACCTTAACCTTGGACCTAGCCCCAATGCTTAACCTAACCCTAACCTACAATATGGCCAACAATCACGTGCCCTAACCTTATTTACATCTCAGCGATTGAGGCAACGCTAATGTAACCCGATAACAAGCCCTTTCCACCGAAATGTACATTTAACTGTCTATCAATCAAAAGACAAAAGTTTGTATTACACCATAATATCAATATTACAATACCAACATACATACACCCTATCCGATCTATCGCATTCCCACATTAAAGTTTAACCCAGATGTTTCCCGTATCCACGTGCTATCTACCATTATCAGTAAATGACATTTTCTGTACGTACTATTCTCACGACAACAATTAACGATTATATCTAATTGGTGCCAATTAATGCCAATTAATAAAAATGTAAGAGATACTGAAAACTTACCTGCTCCGACAGCAAGCGTATATGATCCCGACACACAGAATGCAGACAACTAAACCACAAACAAAACCAATTATACCAACATGTAGATGGGTTAAACCAGTATCATCTACTTGTAACTGTTTACCAGCTGCAAAAAGAATACAGCAGATAAAAGCAATGGCAGGATAGTGGCATCATAGGTCTTTCAGCTGGGAACTCAGAAAAAATATTTGCTTATCCGTAAACACTGGTATATTAGGTCTATAAAATATTCTACATAACTCATAAAAACACAAAACATGAATTTCCTCATCGAACCCATAAAGAAAAATTTGCGTTTTGTCTATATTCGCTGCTTTGTAAAACATTAGTTTTTCTATTGCGGTGATTTGACAATACGGCGACATTGGACATTCCTGGTCCGTGTCGCAAATCAGTATCTATTTTGCGTGTGACGTCATCAATGTGTGTATTTCACATACGTGATACGGCACACGGATACGGCAGCACGTACCGAACACCTTTCATACGGAAGAGGTCCGTATAACATCGTTGTCTGTTTACAATCTTTTTTGCTACTTTTAGACGCAGAAATATTTTACCATAGAGTTTTTATGAATCTATGTGTATCATAGAACACAAAGGTGTATATTAATTGATGTGACATGATAAAGACTGGAGTTTATTCATGGATTTTTTCTCGGAATTTTCCTATTTTTCCTATCTATCTGCCTACATTCTGGTTGATCTACGTGCTAAATTTAGGGAGGTAAATGGGTAAAAACTCTCTAAAATGATACATTAGTGAAACCAAAAACTGCTGTCGAGTCGAGGTCGAAGATTCTAAATAAGACTCGACATTAATTGTTTTTAATAGCTCAGCGACAGTCGAGCGACTTTACTCCCTTCAGGAATTTGTAGGTTAGGCATTTGGTAGATAACTGCCATTAGGTTGTAATAGAACTAAGCTCAACTCAGCTACTCCTACGTGCGCGGCTCGAAAATCTGCCAAAAACTGTAAAACTACATTGACGCAACGTATCACGTATCCGTATCTTATATGTGATACGGATGGGAAAAATTCCGGTTACCAAAACGTCTCTATTAACTGGTTTGACTGAGATAAAGGTTTACCCTTTTAACCTTTCAAAGACTTGAAAGATCAATGGTTTGGTCTTTTTAAATTAGGTGGATATATAAGGTTTCTTTAAATATGATATTATACAAGATATTATGGCAAGAATGATAATTCTTCTTTAAATTAAAGTTACCAAAAAAGACATCAATTATTTCTCATTTTAAATTGCAAAACGAATAGATAAACAGCCAGAAAAATCATTCACTAGTTCTAGGTATGTTTGTGGATAATGGCACTGGATTTCGGATTTGACCATCGATTTTAATTAAACGGTTTAACACATGTAGCGTATATTTCTTAGCACGAAGGATAAATGATTTGATTAACAACCCTTTTGTGTAATGTTTCTTTGTTTAACCATATGTTCTAATTAGGATCTGTTTTAAACATTAACAACATATAACCTTGTGGCTGCGTATAAGTACAGTCGATTCCAGTATATCCATCTTCACAACCATCGTCACATGATCCGTTACTAGGGTTACAGGAAGACTGATGTAAACAATGTCGCCCAGAACATAACAAGTCACATTTAGTACCATACGTACCAGAAACGCAATTTTGGACTTCAACTGAAATGTAAGACTTTTTTGTTAACTTTTGATAACAATCAAAGACATAACCATAAATAACTCCATAAATTAAAGGTGTCAGGGGCTAAGTGAGAGGGACGAAATGTCACGCTTTGGGTCATGGTTTTGAGTCTTTGTGCCCCTCGCAAATGGCAAAAATCATGTGGTTTCAATGCGGTTTTCAATTTTATAATCATAATCATATATTTGTCTCTGTTATCTAAATCATCACTGTGTAAGTCCGCAAACAAGTTATGGTCACAAAAGAAATCTGTGACGTATTATTGCCCCGATACCTGATTGGCTTGGTAGTAAATGTTTTTTCCTGGCCTTTTCGGGTTAGGATTAAACGTAGAGTTTCTACTATTAGATTTCACAGACACACCTTTTGTCTAATTAATCGAAACTATTTATGCTCTTCCATTTTACCCGCATAATTCGAAAGTTAGGCAGAAAAGAACTGAACTCGAGAGTCCGAGCTGATTTTAAAACAAACATGGAGATTAACCTTTCGGCTGCATTAAAATGCAATCAATTCCAATATATCCATCTTCACAACCATCGTCACATGATCCGTTACTAGGGTTACAGGGAGACTGGTTTAAACAATGTCGATCCGAACATGCCTTGTCACAGTTATTACCATATGTATTATCATACAAACAATCTGAAAAAACCCACGTCGCTATATTTTTTTTTCGTAGCACAGGATTAGGATACATGTATTTAAGAAACAATTCTCACTGAATAATCGAGTTTTATCCAAAATATATATGAGACGTCCCTTTTAATACTTACTTCGATCACACTTATCACCTATCCAACCAAAATCACACTTTCTTTCGACATTTGGTGGACATACTCCCGTTCGATCATCACACCTTTTACCACCATTACAATGACATGTGTATTCACACTGAACACCGAAAGTGCCATTAGAACATACTGTAATAAAGATAAATATAGCTATATATAAAAGTCAGAGTTTATTCTAAAAGCGAAATCTCTTCATGTTCGACATGTATCTAGTAGAAACCATGCACTACCGAGTGTTCACAAGGATAGGTTATCCCGTGAATAAACTAATTTTGGTAAACCTCAATGAACATCCCCACCTTGTTTTAAGCTCTCTGTTAAAAAAGCCATCCAAGTATGTAAGATTTTAATGTAAAGATTATTATTATTGTGTAATTAAGAAAATTTGAATATAAAAACACCTCCAGTAAGAATGGGCTGGCTTGAACGAAAAGCAGACGTATCGTGTTCTAAAGGGTCCTCCGCCCCCCCCCCCCCCCCCCATTGCTAAAGACCCCTACTCGCAAGCGAATTCTTGAAATAAAATTGAACCTTAATTACTCCCGAAATGACATAGTTTGTGTCGTGTGGACGTTAAACCCCAAAGTCAAGACCAATCAAATTGCTTATCTCAGTCAAGACATTCACATAAATAACATTTACAAAAAGATTGAACATTTTTCATAAGGTGTGGCGGACAGACGGACAACAGCTTCACCAATCTGAACATTCTGCCTCTATCAAAATCATAGTTTTTTATGTCCAAATGTTAAAATGATAATTACGGCCCCTCAAGAGCTATAATAATAACCCTTTTGCTACTATTTCGCACAGAAGCACATGTCTTAAATCTTTATACAATGATCGCACAGCACTTTTTATTTTATTTTTGAGAATGAGATACTTCTATCAGACATATTGTCAATCGCGAAATGAAATACCTGAGTATTAGTTCAAACTGCAAAATGGAACAACATTTATTATATTTACCAAAAACTTGCACTTCACAAAGTTCTAGCCCCGGTTCTTTACTATAGCTCTCGGGGTAGGGTGGGTTTAAACGACTGTTCATGATTATCACAAAGCTACCAGATGAAGAACATTCAATGTTAATTATATCTGGTACGTCTTCACCGGATCCATGTTGATAACATAACGTACTATTCCCTTCCTCTCGGTCGTGTGTAAATGCAGTATAAACAGAAAACCCATATATTGTATTTTTATCTGAAATAGAGTAAATTGTTAAAACTGGCGACAATAGCTAGTGACTCACAAACAAATTCGCTAATAATTTCACTAGTCAACACCAATAGATAGAAGAAAAAAATAAGCGTTTATTTTTTGTCTTTAAGAATTGAGTGCATTTACAAAATCTATCTGCATTCTGTAGTTACGAAAAGGGCATAACACGTGTCACCAATAACTACAGTATCGAAAGATAAGGAAGATCGGAAAGATGTTAAGGGGTATTTTAGAAGGCAAAAGTGCAAAACGGCTGTGTAGAATGTACCGGGTACTTACATAAACAGTTAAAGATACATTTTGGGAGATTCGATAACGAGTTGGCAGTTTTCACTATAATAGTTAAAAGCTAGATAATGTAAAGGGACTTTGCTGAAAATTTCATTCAAATTGATCCACTATGAACCGAGAACTAAGCGGTTGAAATTTCCGGCTAGCCTTGATCATCATTACTAAAGTCAGTACGATAAACAACATAGTTTCGATTATCCATTTAATTGTTAAAGTTATGCAGTAAATCGGCCCATAATCCACTACAGATCGCAAGCTAGCGATGCCACCTAGAGTTGATTATGGTCTGGATAGGTTAATTAATGTCTAATTAATAATTTAGATAACATTTCAGGCCTAAAGAAAGACTTGCCATAGACAGATTAGCTCTTGCATAATGTATGTTTAAGTTAGTAATATTTACCATTTGGACTGTAATATATGGTTACATTTTTTACTAAGTATACTTGATTCAGATCAACATCAACCTGTAGTGGATCTAGTCCTCCTTCTGCTACACATACACTAGTACTGATATTACCATCCACTACATAACCGGTCTTCCATTCACCAGTACGTGGTATATTCTGTTCTACGCTTTTACCTAATGCTACATTTTCTGAAATTATAACGCGTGTACTTTCCGTTTGAGAGAAGCTGGTCACAGGGCCATGCATTTTGTTTAATGTAGTGCTTTCACAGATCGCAAAATTAGCAATTCTATATGGACAATATTATTATACATTTTATAGAATAGGGGTGGGGGTTCAATCAAGTTCAAAAATGCACGGAAAGTATATTTAATATAACTTAAAACTTTGAGTAATTCTTTATGGCTTTCAGGTCTGGATCCTTTTTGAAGACTCCATTCTTGAAGATGTCAAAAGATTTATTAGAGGAAATACTGATGGCTTGAAATGGAATCAAGCAAACCATTACAAAAGATGTTTGTCCTGCTACATTAATTTATTCAAATGAATGCCGACCCATCAACAAAACTATATTATAGCCTTGAAAGCTTTGCTAGTCAAAATCAATTTGTTACTACAGCTGCGTTGTAATGACATAACTATTGTATTAACTTTACTTACCCATTTGACAAGTAGGACCATACCATCCTTCAGAACATGTTCCGGTACATATACCAGTTTTATTATCATGATCACCTTTACAGTTGGATGTATAATAACAATCAAAATTATAACACTCCTTCCCTGAAAGAATACATTGTTCTTATATTTCTATTTTGAAAAAAAAATAGTTCAATTCGAAAGTCACCCCAGACTAGCCCCCCCCCCCCCCCCCATCCCCCAAAGAAAAGATGGCAACAACAAGACCGATTCTAACCATATATACTATATTTGTTAAAAGCGAGAATTTATCTTGCAAAAAGTGCTTGAATCATTTTACAAGTCCGATCTGCTACTCAACTCAAACTCAAAAGGTATTCTGACACACTGTGTTAAATACCACTTATTACGCCATTTAAGGGCTAGTTTTAGGACGAAAACTCGTAATTAGTGTGTATGCGCCATCATCCCAACATAACATTAATAATAATATCCCGAATGTTATAGCGCAAGATTACACTAATTATTTCTAACGGGCTTCCAATTAACTAACACTACGAAAGAACTAATTGTTAAATAGGTGTGTTTTCAACTGGCGTTTGAACTGGGGCAACTGTTTCTTCTTGAAAATAAATGTTTATTTCAGCGAATTTGGATAGTTGTTGTCTTGTACCAGTTTTATCAGGATTCAATTTTAGAAAGTGTCTAGTCATCCTGTCATGTATTTCAGCAAGACAGATCTCTGAATCTTTAACTGTCTGTTTACTAGAATGGTATCAAAGCATACGTGTGTCACCGGCAAACAATTGTATGGATAATCCGTGTTTCTCTGTTGGCTGTCTAAAGCTCGATAAATATCATCTGGCTTGGAGGTTGTTACTTCTCATTTGTTGGTTAAGTTGAGTTAAGACAAATTTTTCAATGATTTTGAAGATACAATTTGAATTGCTTACGGGTTTGTAGTTTGTTTTATGGTATCCGGATTTAAAGATCACTTTTTCAAAAGGGGTCTGATGACTGCTTTGCCAAGGTTTTTCGGGATACAAGATGTTAGAGGATCTAGTTCACATGATTTAGGTTTCATAGAAAGGGTAGTATTTTTGAGTTTTGGTCATCCGAAAGTGTAGAATCTGATGTATCTCTGTAGGATGAAATTTTGTCGGACAAATTTGGGGGTAATGTTATTTCTGATCTTTAGGATTTAATCATTAAAGTAATTGGCAAATATATCAGCTAATTCTGTGGTAGAGATGTGATCAGGTGGGATATTATTGTATCTTTCTCGATTTAGAATATCATTTATTACATTGAAGATTTGTTTCGGATCTGAACCGCAATCTGACTGTTTTTTTATTGTAATATTCTGCTTTAGTGGGCTGAATTAAAGACGCAATATTCTTAATTTCCGTTTTGTACCGGTCTTTGTGAACTATAGGCCCCTAAGTTGTGTCGACCTCAATCTCCTTTCCGCCTTTCGTCTTATTTTATCGTTGAAACAAGTTTTTGGGGGGATTTGTATTTGTTTTATGAACGACCAAAGGAGTGTGTTCTCTTTATCACAAAGATCAACTAGCTCAGATGTTCAAAAGGATAGAATTCTTCAGTGAAAATTGAGTTATTGACAGACATATATTTATGATATTGGATTGACGCAGGTTTAGCAAACAAGGATTCATTATCATGTGGTAGACTGCATTATGTCCTATTCAACTAAAAGTTCACATTTATCACCCATAATCTGTTATTTAAGAGACACGTATTAAGATAGTTTTTTGGGGACTTGATAGGGGAGTGGATGGCCGAATGGTTAGCACGTGCGCGCTGTAGCATAAGGTCTGTCAATGAGTCATTGATTCCCCGGTTGTACGTAACAATGAGTAGGGTCGCCTGTCCAATCTCGTGGGTTTTCTCCGGTTTCCTCCCACTGCTAAAGACCCCTACGCGCAAGCGAATTATTGAAATAAAATTGAACCATATGTTAGCCCCGAAATGACCTAGTTCGTCTCGAGTGGACGTTAAACCCCATTTCTCTCTCTTCCTCTCTCCGAAGACTTGATATCCCAAAAGATTTATTTCCAGAATTTACCTTTTTCCCACTCCTTTTACCCCTGCTTGTTTTAATTAGGGGATTTAAAAATACGATGAAACTTTAATAGGCTATTGTTGTTGATCTGTTCTGATATTGATATATGCATATGCAAATGGCTGCGCATTTTTTACACCACAATGACTTTCAGTTCAGAATTATGGAAATTAATACTTCAAATACATTTCTCTCTTTTTGTAGCCTAAACTGTACCCTTTTCCATCTTGTTTTTGCCAATAATCTTGTGCCAGCGAGTGAAAATAATATGTGTAACTCACCTAAAACAGGATTTGTGGTTTGTAATAGATAAATCAACACATAAATACAGTGTATATATTCATAAACCTCCATTTTGACTATTATGGCGACGGCGTTGATGTAAATAGTGGGGTTATAATAAAGTAGTTTATTGATAAATGTATACGTTTGATTCATTGTATTGAAAGTCATAGATGTTTTTATTTCCTTTCGGCATTCACATAGCTTTAGGTGATAACAAAGCCCATGATCACCATATTAGGCCCAAAATAGTAACCTTTCTAAATCTTTTCATAATAACTGTAACAGAACATAATGACATAGTGGGGTAGCGACTATTTCGGACTGGGATGTGAACAATCTAAACGTTCTTAAAACGTTTTACAGATTTTAATTAAAGTAGTTTAGATTGCGTAGACCTCAGAGAAAACCATAATTTCAATTATTTTCAAATTATTCATAGATGTATAATAAAGGGCTTTTCATTTTAAATGACATTTTCTACATCCTTTAATAGCACGACATTCCATCAGATAGAGCACTAATTGTATATCGAATCAGTTATAACTTGGACCCTTTGTGTACCAAGTTAATCGATATAAAGTAATTATTATGCTGTATAAACTACGCAAATATATGTATATTCTTATGTTTTGAAGTTATTGTTTAATTTTATAACGGTAATGGTGTAACGGTAATGATGTGCTGAGCTTATCAAGACAAACATATTTTCGACATGATGTTCAACAGAACCCCGACATTCCCCAAATGTTTGTAACAGCTTTATCCCAACACTGCACTGTACCCACAATCCCATAGTCAATAGGGCTGTCCTAAAATCTTGGTTTGCCGACAAGGTTCGGAAACACCAAATATGCTTAGCTGTATAAGGGAATTCGCTTCCCCCTTTTCCAATTTTTCCAACAACAAAGCAAATTTTCTGTATATCTGTCTGAGAAAACGGTTTCTATTCTGTTCCATCGGATAAAAATATTTTCCTAGACAGTCATGCTGATTCCACAAGTATTATATCCCCACCACTGTATTGATATACACTTACTGTGTAGGCTAATCCAACTTGAACTTAAAAACCCCATAGTACACAAAAATATTGGTGATATAGACATAATGGAATTTGAACCTCTTTGGACAAACTGTTCCCCACTCAGATGCTTTAAAACCAAAACAGGGAATGGTCCCGTCAGGTGCATGTTTCTGCTAAATTTTTATGATATAATGCTGTCTTTGTTCACAGTGTAAACAAAACTCGACACAAACTAAGTCATTTCAGGACTAACATATGGTTCAATTTTATTCCAATAATTCGATTGTGCGGAGTGGTCTTCAGCAGTGGGGGGAAACCAGAGGTCCCGGAGAAAACCCTTGGGGTTAGACAGGTGACCCCACCCCTTGTCATCTACAAACTGGGAATCGAAACCACGCCACTTGACTCAATGACAGACCTTATGATGCAACGCACACGGGTTAACCGTTGGGCCACCCAACCCCCCATCCTCATGTTGTAGCTATGGAATTTGGAATTTAAAACTAGCTTCATTAGGCAAATATTGCTAATTAAACAAGTACTTTTGACCTATGTGATAGGCAATTGCACAAAATTTCATTAAAATGAAAAGAAAAATGCAGATTCCATCTTGATCACAAGCACATGTAGATGGACAATAATATAAAAAATTGTTCCATTTTAAATATACTATTCAAAAAAAGTAGGGGATATTTGATTTTTAAGTGTTATTAAAGTCACCTAATGAAACTGACGAAGAAACAAATGACAAAATGAAATGATGTTCACATTCATCGATTTATTCCAAATGATCGTTAGACTAAGTAATGCACAGACTGACCATTATAAGGGTAAAATGATACCCGGGGTCAAACAGCAAAGTTACCACAGCATCACAACCAAGTCAGTAACGGGTAAATCCTCCTCTGTTTGCCAAACAAGCATTGATCCGACGTGGCATACTCATAATGAGACGTCTAAGGTCATTTTGGTCCAGATTGTCCCATTCCTGTTGCAACGCAGCAGCAAGTTCTTGGACATTGGCAGGACGTTGTTGACGTTGACGTAACCTCTGTCCAAGTATGTCCCAGACATGCTCGATTGGGGAGAGGTCGGGACTCAGTGCTGGCCAAGGTAATGTGGTGATGTTCTGTTGTTGGGGGTAACCTGTAACGATCCTGGCCCTGTGACATCTTGCGTTGTCATCCTGGAAGATGAAACGGCGGCCATGACGTCGTGCGAACGGCACAACATGGACTGCCAAGATGTTGTCCCGGTAGTACTGGCCTGTAACACGCCCTGCAACAACATGTAAAGCCGTTCTTCCAGCAACAGTGATGCCTCCCCACACCATAACTGAACCACCCCCAAATCGATCATGTCTGATGACGTTAACGTCTTGGAAGCGCTCGTTTCGACGACGCCACACCCTCCTACGTCTGTCCAAAAAATCAACAGTGAACCTTGACTCATCTGAAAACATCACATTGCTCCAGCGTCGATTATCCCAGTGTTGACGATCCCTACACCAACGACGTCTTGCCTGAATGTGATGATCTCTCAAACAAGGGATCACGCGAGGACGTCGGGCGCGAAGGTGACCCCTATGCAGTCGATTCCGAATCGTCTGGCCACTCACTCTCACACCAGTGTCTGTTTGAAGACGAGCGCTGATCTGATTTGCTGTGATGACACGATTTCTCAAGGCCAAGGTACGGATAAATCGATCCTGGGCTTGAGTTGTCGCCCTTGGTCGACCTGAGCGTGGTCTGTCCTGTACAGATTGTGTATCACTGTATCTGGACCATAGCCTGCTTATGACAGACTGAGAAACATTCATCGTCCGCGCCACAACTGCCTGTGTTGTGCCGATCTGTAGCATGCCAAGGGCACGTAACCTTTCATTTTGGGTAAGCCGACGCATATCAAAATTTGTTTTCTGGTCACTAAAACAATTAAACTGATGTTTCCACCCTGGAATTCAATGCCACAATGACTGTAACATTCAAAGTCAGAGTCGTGCAAATCTTGGGTTGGACCCCCATGGAAATGTTTCTTCTGTTAGGTTCTATAGTGACTTTTTTCGTAGTCATTTGCATATTTTAGTATTATGCCCCCAAAATCAAATATCCCCTACTTTTTTTGAATAGTATATTTACATATAAATAATAAAAAAAACACAAATATTTCATCAAACCGTATTGTTTATTTAAAAAATACATGATCTGATCAATATCAAAATAATCAAGTTCATGTAAATTATATTCTGGAATGATTATCATATTGTAGAATGCACACACAACAATAAATCACAAATACTTTTAATTAATTAATTTCCACTGGCTAATTACTGGCACTTGTTTGATAGAATTTAAGTTCCATGGCTAATCACTAGTGCTTATTTGATAGATGTGACAGAAGTTTCAATGACTAATCATTTCTCCTTTTTTGATAGATGTGATAGATTTAAGTTCCTGTGTCTAATCACTTGTACTTATTTGATAGATTTAAGTTTCCATTATCTAGTGGTCACTTGTACTTATTTGATAGATGTGACAGATTTAAGTTTCCATGGTCTAGTAACTTGTACTTATTTGATAGATGTGATGGATTTAAGTTGAGTGGCTAATCACTTGTATTTGTTTGATAGATGTAAGTTCATGTGTCTAATCACTTGTACTTATTTGATAGATGTGATAGATTTAAATTCAAGTGGCTGATCACTTGTACTTATTTGATAGATGTGATAGGAATAACAATGCCTATTACTTGGACGTATTTGATAGATAGAAGATACACATTGATATTGCTTTAATAAGATTTATATAACAGTTCCCTTGTCATCATTGGCCACTTTTTGAAGAATATTTGATAAATTCTTGCTATCACTGTTCACAATGTCAGAAAACATGTCCATTTCATGCCTGAAAAAAAAAGATAAAATATCTTGAGGCCACTAATGTTTAGATTAATCTTCAACAAACATCTAACAGAGATACACATATAATACATGGGTTTCTTTTTAGCAAACTTTCCATAGGAATCAAGTTTAGTGCTCTGTCAACATTATATGTTGGTCACTTCGAGACTAACATGTGGTTATTTTTTCTATGGTCATGAAGGAAGGTGATTGTTTTCGCCTACTCTTCATCAAGTTCCAACTGTTAAGGTTTTTCTTTTTCATTACGAACATCTAGACAAAACCTTCTTTTCAGCCCCACCATTGACCAACGCTGGCATTTTAACTCAAGACATACTGGTCAAGATTCCAGTGTACAGACAGACCCCATGAGATTATGGCAGTTTCTTAAGATTTTTTTGTTTTAATTATTTACAGTTGTGTTATCTACAAATGGAAATAGAGATGGGGTTTAACGTCCACTCGATACAAACTAGGGCATTTTGGGACCAACACACTGTTCAATTTTTATTTCAATAACTTGCTTGTATGTAGGGGTCTTTAGCAGTGGGAGGAAACAGGAGGACCAGGAGAAAATCCACAAGGCTGGAAAGCCGACCCTACTCCTTGTCACGTACAACTGGGGAATCGTACAACAACGCCAGTTGACTCAATGACAGACCTTATGATACAGCATGCACGCGCTAATCATTCGGCCATCCACCCCCTAATAACTAAAAGACTCTGACCGATGTGATTGGTGTCTCTCATATAAAACAGTTTCAAATAAATAAATAAATACAGACCTTGTATTAATAAGATTAGCTTCCATATGATGAGATTGATAATGTGCTAATTTGATAATAGATGATTGAATATCTGCTAATCTGGCTACATTTAAACCATAACTTTTGCCAGCTTGACCTTTTACTAGTTGATATAGAAATGTTATACTTTCTTCATCTTCACTTTTTTCTGTAATAAATAAAACAGGAACACAATGGATAGACTGATATGTCTCAATTATTGTATTAAATCTAATTTGAACAAGCTCAATTTAACTGTATGACCAAACCAAAATTATTTATTTACCATCAAATTGCTAAAGTAATAAATTGTCTTTTATTTATGGTCTTGTTTTCATTGCTACTCAACAAAAACTGTTTATTATATTTAAATATGTTCATATTATCAATAAGCTTATACATGTATATCCAAAATATCATATTTAAAGCGACAGTATATATATGAACAAAAATCAGATTTGTCAAATCCCCAAGATCTTTCAAGACATTTTTCATCCATATAAATTAAATTGTTGCATTTGGTGATAGAAATGAAGAAAATAAACTGAAATGTTTTCATCTTAGATTTTCTACAGGAACACTAAAATAAAAGGATTTTGTTCTTAAAAATAATTGAAAGGAAATATATTTGCATATATCAATCCAATTAAAATCTTTATTACATTTTTATTTCTATAGTTAAAGTTTCGTTTTTACTTGTCTTCACTATGTGGGGGCCATCAAAAGAATACACAAACAAACTGTAATATAGATCTTTTTTTCTATATTAAAGATGGGTTCCCAGAAAAGTATTTATCGGGTGGTTATTTCCAATAAAAGTATGGCAATTTTGGTATATATGGAAAGTAGAGATATCCAATCTTACTAGAAAAATACTGGATTCCCCGAAAAACACTCATGGAGCGTATACAGGACAAAAATGTAAGGGTTTCCCTAATCGACAGCCCGAAGATTAGGAATTTCTGCATGCGTGATGTCAAAGGTCACACGCGAACATTAAGCGCTTGATGTACAAGTTGATAAACTTTATGAAAAGTTAGACGTACAACACTTTCTGAGATAAAAATGACAGAAAAAGATGCGGGTAGTGGATAATCCGAGAATTTAATTAGGATTCGATATTTGTAATAAATAGTAAGCGATTAAAGACAACATCGTCTTATGTATGCAATGAATTCTCTTCTTACTTCCAAGAGCGGTAAGTCACATGACGTAAACATGACCTGGTTTGATTTTTTATAGCAGGACATTCTTTCGCAATTACAATGTTTGAGAAGGATTTGAAGCAAAATTATGACAAATTAATTAGTTTGACTATGTTTTTAGTCCATATATACCAATAAATCACCCAGTTTGTACGCAGGAATGTATCTTTAAGAGCACATGTTTAGATAATAATACTGGTAGGAGAAAATAGAATCTGGATAATGATCATATAAAACATTTATTCTTACCTTGATCATGTAGTAAAAATGACATGTGGTAGTTTCCTACAACACTAGGATAAGACAACTCTAATCCACCTAATGATGGATAATGAGTAACAAACAAAGTAAAACATTTCACCTGAAATTAATTAACTTAAATCATAAATAAAACATATCGGAAAGGAATCTATTGTTTTTCTAGTTGTTTAGATTTAAATATCAAGGACAGATGTATCTCACTTTATGACTAAATATAATTCCTTTGACATTCAATATGCTATTTAGCGAACAATCTTTTAGACAATTTTAACCGTCTTCATTATCCCAGTTGGAGCAGAACAATAGGACATTAAACCCCATTTCATTTCATTTCATTTCTTTTAGACAAGCAGTTGCCATGCAAGATACGCCCACATTTTGCAAGAGATGGACAGAGAACAGGCTAAAAAAAAAAGTGATTTTTCGTACAATCAGGGGTATTACATACTTTTACACTATTTGCCTACAAGGAGTGGCCATATGTTGGACAGTTTCAAACTCAACCGTTAATACATTTAAACGTTTTTTAAAATCGGATAAAAATTGTGACCTGTAGGGGGCCCACACAGCTAATTTAAAGCATGATTTTTTGTACAATCAGGGGCCATAATCCAGGAAGTTAAGGTCTGATATGCGCAAATATCGAAAGGAACCAAGATCTTTGGGTTATAAATGTGTGTTTGAAGTTTCATCAAAATCGGATAGAAATTGTAACATCTAGAGGGTCCACAACCTTGATATACCATAGTTTTACACTATTTGCGTACGAGGGGCAGCCATTTTCCCTGGCAGTTTTGGTCCGCTTTTTACGAAATTCTACCTCGACCAAAATTTCTAAACAGGATAATAATTGTGACCTCTAGAGTGACCAGAAGGTGAAAACGTGATTTTTCTTACAATCAGGGGCCATAATTCAGGAAGATACGATCTGATATGTGTGAATATCGAAAGAAACCACATACATTTCAAGTTTCATCAAAATCAGATATAAATTGTGACATCTAGAATGTCCACCAGCTAAAAACATGCTTTTTCGTACAATCAGGGGCCATAATCCATGAAGTTACATGTCAATATCAAAAGGAGCTGAGATCTTTGGGAGATAGGCCTATATTTCAAGTTTTGTCAAAATCGGATAAAAATTGTGATCTGTAGAGTGTGTCCTCAAACAAATTGTGGACAGGGGTGATGGCATAATACGTCCACTTGAAAATGTGGGCGTATAAAAATATATCTAAACTGCAGGCAAATCTATATCTTATGAATTATAATATATTCTGATGCCCATAAAGCACCATGCCCCCACCTCCCCCCAAATTAAAACCCACAAAGTATTCCTGTATTTAGACATTAAATAATATGAACTTACATCATTGATGAAATACTGTAAAGCAGCATGAGCAATAGCCAGACCATCATGTGTACTAGTACCTCGTCCTAATTCATCTAATATAACCAAACTTTTACTCGTAGCTTCTTTCATTATATAGGATGCCTCTTGTAATTCTACCATAAATGTACTTCTACCTTTAAATATCTCATCAGCAGCTCCCATTCTGCTCAAAAATTTAATAACAAATATTCTAATTGTTGCAATCATTGCCCTAAATTAAGTTTTATCTTCAAAACATCATTAAATATTCCATAGTCCAAATAATATTTTAACTGGTGTTGGTAAAATAATTTGATGCCAAAATCTTTCAATATAATTTCAAAAGTTGTGTATATCTAAGAAGTATGAACTCATAGTTGTTGAAATTATAACCTGATTTTAATAAGACGATTATGTAAACAAACCTGGTATATATAGCATCTATTATAGATAAGTGGGCACTATCAGCAGGTATATATGATCCTATCTGAGCCATTATACATAATAATCCTACTTGACGTATATAAGAACTTTTACCACCCATATTAGGACCTGTTATTATCATTACTCTTTCATCCTGAAATATAGCACCATACTTCTTAAAGTGAGTTGTAGAAATTATAACTCTGTTCTAAACATCTAGCTTATTGCAATTAATCAAACACGCCGCTGTTCAGAAAAAATTGTCCTTCTTGCATTGAACACATAACTATAGAAATGAAACGTAACATGAGTCTCAAAATAACAGAATTATCGTGTTGACTAGATATTAAACCCAAATCCATTCCACCAATTTCCCTAAATACAAAATTTAGAAATACCTCTATTTTCAACAAATTACGATCTGAATATTCATTAAAGTTTGATTGTACCTTTAAATGTGTATTATTAGGAACATACTGTTGTTGACCTGTTAATAGTGATGTAATTACAGGGTGACGACCTTCTTCTATTTCAATACATTCACAATCCTTTACAAACTTTGGTCTATAAATAGAATAATATCAAATGCAATAAGATGAAAAAGATTCCTACATCAAAATTATCAGAATAAAACTCTGGGATATTTTGTAAATATATATATTTTTACAATTTGCACTCATTCTGCACGTTTTATTCAAAGACAGTATCTTTAAAATTCTTTGATAAATCTAACACAAATTATTCATGAAATCTCCTGACATATCTACATACCTGCAGTAACCATCTTGCTTAGCAACAGTTGCTAGTGATAATAAACAATCTAAAGTTGCTAGATACTGAATAGCCTTTCTATAACGCACAAAGTTAGTAACAAATTGTCTGAAATAAACAAAATATAAATCATTAGGTCTTTGGTAAAAGTTGCCAACCATGATCAGTGATCACAAGATGGCAAATGGTGGACAATTTTCCATCATGAATCTTAAAGAGCCATCCCAGATATATTTATGAAAGGTAATTGGGTAATTCAGTGTAAAGAATCCTTGCAAACCTTAATCCTAGGCCTGTGCAACTACTGTGTATTTTTATTAACGGCTCAATATTTTGATATGAAATTTTCTGACATGATCAATAGACTATATCATCACATACTGGCTTTTGGTTTACATACTTTTAAAAACCCAATTTACAGTGTCCTGTAAAATCTGGGAAATTTATAAAATTTGCAGGTAATCCCCCAGATCTTTCCCCGAACATGACAATGTCTCCACTTTGGGCCCCCTGCTACTCAAATTCCTGGACACACCCCTGCTATTTTCTTTGTTGCTCCAACTCCTTTATTACTTACTCTAGGAAATCTTGCCATGCTTGATTGGCATCAGCTATAAGTTGTTCTTTCAACTGACTCAATTTTTGAGTTTTAGAAACAATGAAAGGTGAATGAAACCTCGTTACAGCTTTTGTACTAAAACAGAAAAATAGTTCAACATCAACTAAAAGTTATGAGCAACAAGAGCTGTTCACCAAATTAAAATGCTGACTATATGCATATCCAGCTTTCAACCAATTGCTCTTAATTGGGCCCTAAGTGATATAGCTCTCGACTGACCTTATATGATTTTAATAAAAAGTAGTCATTTCTGTTCATTTTAAAAAATAATTTTATTAAGACAGACCTTGGCTGTGAACCTGGAGGACTGCCAAAGACTTCCCTGATTATATCCTGGCTGACCCTGACTACCTATGTACATGCAAATGACACCATAATGTCTTTTACCTATTCATGGTTAGTTAAATCATTACATATTTTCGAGAGAAGTCTTTAAATAAACATATATATAGCATATAGATAAACAGTATACCTGCTTATTGTACTCCAATCACTAGGAACATCTTTTATTAAACTATTCTTTACTTCTATTAAAAACTGTAGAATAGAAAATGACATTGTTTACATATCACGGACAAGAGCTGGTCTTACTCTTAAAGGAAAAGATTTCTAACTATATAAGTGGGCACAATATATAAGTATTCAACACACAAGTAACATGACCAAGTTTGTGTTATTTTGATATTGATGAGATTCCATTTGCAAACATGAATAGCTTTAACCTATTTAATGATTCACTAGGATTGCATACTAGTTCTGTGAGGTAAGGAGTAGTTTCGGGAAGCTTCAAAAATGAGCTTCAAAACAAGGCGGTAAAGGGTTATTGTTTATAACTGAAATAAATAATAAAAATAGTAGATTTAGATTCATATGTAAAATGTTATCTTTTTGAATATATTTATCTTAAAAAAAGGTGACAAACAAAAAAAGGGTATCAATAAAATAAATTCTTACCTCTATTTGTGAAACTGTAACATATTCTAATGACGGCTGTTTTAGTTTCACTCTGATATCTCTCCGATGGTCTTTAATCTCTTTTAAAACCTCATTTATTTCTTGTTTTCTTTTAACGATCTCAGGAAATTCATCTTCTTTATTGAACAGATTAGTTTTATCATTTTCCCTACAAAAATACAAATAGAGAGAGAGAAAAGGGGTTTAACATCCACTCGACACAAACTAGGTCATTTTGAGACTAACATGGTTCAAATTTATTTCAATAATTTGCTTGCGTGTAGGTGGTTTTTAGCAGTGGGAGGAAACCAGAGGACCTGGAGAAAACCCACAAGGTTGGAAATGAAATTTCATACTGGGCTAATGAAGATGGGCATACGCCATACAGTGTGCTATGAGGGAAATTTTGCCTGGGCAGCGGCACTACCGCCTACTCTTATATCGAATCCCAACTGCCAAGGGATCTTTTACGTGCATTCTAATGTACACATGGGACCTCGTTTTTTTGTCTTATCCGAAGGACTAGACAGCTGTTCTTGTCAGGCCATCCGTCCTGCATCACTGACAAGGGGGAACCACGCCGGAAAATCTCGATGAACTTTCACGGCCAATGCAGGGATCAACATCCGACCTCCAGGCTAGCGAGCCAACGTCTTACCCACTTAGCCACGTGATCCCCCACGAGGTTGGAAAATACTAATAGTACTACTAGTGTAAATATAAACTTGTGATTTTATCAATTAAATATTAGAATATTACATTTCCATAATCCTATTTTACTGTTCTTACTCTCCTACATATCATATAATTGTGTACTATGGCAGACTTCCCCTCCCCCAGAACATTAAGCAATCTTTTGCTCAGACACTGTCACTCCACTTTATTACTAACAAAGAAGCCCCTGTCCCATCTTTTTCATTCAATAAAACCAGAACATTTTGCACAAGCAATAACAAAATTACGTAAATATAAATTGTTATCCTTACTTTGCTGACTGTTCATTAATAGCTTGACTATAATCCCCGATATCTTGTAATAAATCAGGAATATCCTCTATAATAGTTAATAATAATCTGGATTCTTTAAATATACTCTCATCTATTTGTAAGGTTTTAATCTCTCTGTTTATCTTATCTAAACTCTTAATAACTGTATAAAATTCTAACACAGAACACTAAAATTAAACCAAAATATAACGGTTTACTAAATAGGAACTTTCAATAATAGCAGTAGATAGAGGGAGGTCATTATTAATTATATGTATTGATAAGTTCACTTAGAAAATTATTACTAGGCATAAAAAAAGAATATCCACCATACTGCTAATGTGATACAAATTAATCTAAGACAAGGGTTCCCAACCAGGGGTAAATTGGTTGATTCAGGATCCACTCTTGACTATGGTCATCATTAGTTGCTCATAAATCAGTGAAAATAACCTTGTCATCTGCTATTATTGTTGCTATTTGAACTTACAAATAATGACGTTAAAAACAAGATTTAAACTTCCCCCTTGGTGTGGCCATATTGGGTGCTTTTTTATTATGGTAAAAATTACGAAACAAAAAGTGCTGATCCCTGATGGTAAATTGAGTTTAGACAGTTGCCAGGGGTAAACGTAACAAAAAAGCTATCATAATAAATGACATCTACAATTTATTAATCGAATTATCAATAATTCTTCTGATAGAAATCTTTAATTTTCTGGTATCAAGACATTATACTAGAGTCTAGAGTCTACTCACCTTCTTATGGTATATAGAACAAAGAGCTTTCTCTAGATCTGGTGATTTACTTAAAATAGTTTTTATTCTCTCTAACTTTTGGTGTGATGAACATAAAATATGGTGAACAGCTTCTTGTCTTTTCTCTATTTCACTGAAATAATAATAGTACTTTTATTAATCTGAATGAATTTTGTTTACTTTTTGCAATCAAATCTAATTGCAAATCACAAAATTATTCAAGAATAATTAGAAATGTATGTCTATTGAAGCATTATAATATTACTTACTCCATACTTAACAATGGATTGGAAATCCAGTTTCTCAATAACCTGTTTCCATATCTAGTCACAGTCTGGTTCAAAACCCAAAACAAACAACCTTTCTCAGAACGATCTGAAGAGTTCTCAAAAACTTCTAAATTACGTAAAGTTGTCCCACTCAACTGCATATATTTCGAACGAATACTAAATCTGTTGATGTTTCTAAAAACACAAAACAAATAATAACATTAAATCACAATCATTAAATAACAAAAGCTGATGATTTGTCATAGCAATGTTTTCTATAATAAAATGTAAAGACTAAACATAATTAAACCATTTCTAAGGATTCAACTTTCAAATATCTGTAACCCTTCTTAAACTGAAACTTACCCAGTTATTTTTAGAATATTATGAAGATTAAAATCTTGAAGATAGACAATAAGACCAGCTATACAAGATAAAACAGCTTTAGGTAGATTTAAAATATCTTGAAGGATACTTTCTGTAAAGATAAAGTATACAGACAATACTAGAAAGCATAACATTATAGAAACTGTCTCTGACTAACCTTTCATAGAAATCTAGACAAATAATTTGATAGAATATACCACAGAACAGCACAGACAATAGAATATTTCCAAGTACATTGTACTTGATATACCAGTAACACAGAATAAATTGATTGTAAAGATTAATCTGATATCTTTGAGACTGAAAATACTTTCTTTCTACATTATGTGGAAAACAGGAAACGTTACTAATAACATGGACCTTATAATCCATAAGGTCCATGCTAATAATAAAATAGAATGATTCTTCTTCTCTCATTATCTAGATCTATGTACTTACGATTATCATTTTTAAGGAACTCTGGAATTATCTGTTGTGATTTTTCTGGTGTAAAATTCTCATCATTTAATTTTTCTATTCGTATTCTATCATCATCTGTTGAACTGAAAGAGAAATAATAGAAGGTTCTTTGGAAAACAAAAATATATACTATGTTTACTTATATTTGGGTAGTATATATTGATTTGATCTTTTCTATTCCTTAATTAACAATATCTGTTTTGCTTAATGTTACAAATCATGCTATACTAACCTTACAGCCATCATATCTTGTATAAAATTTATACTACTAACCTTAAAGGCACAACATCTTGTATAAGTCTATAGATACTACCTTAAAGTCACCACACATTCTATAAAGTCTATATTAACATTAAAGCCATTTTGTATTAAGTCTATACTCTCTATACTAACCTTAAGGTCACCACATATTGTATAAAGTTTATGTAGTCTATACTAACCTTAAAGCCATCACATCTTGTATAAAGTCTATATAGTCTATACTAACCTTAAAGTCACCACATCTGGTATAATGTCTATACTAATTTTAAAGGCAGAACAACATGTATAAAGTCTATACTGACCTTAAAACCACCACATCTTCTATTATTACTATTATAGAATCTATAAACTCTATATACTAACCTTAAAGTCACCACATTTTGTATTAAGTATGTACTAACCTTAAAGCCACCACATCTTCTATAAGTCTGTAAGTTGATGTAGATAAAGTCTGAGGTAGTAATAATTCTACAGGATTAATATGAGTTATTCTAGTCTCAAGCTCTCCTCTCATCTCACTATCTATAAAACTATCATACACAACATCTCCAGTAGCTGGATCTATAGCCTGTAATATTAAATAAATGATTTGATCTACAAAATCATCATACAATAGATCAAAATCATCATACAATAGATCAAAATCATCATCAAATAAATATTGATCACATTATCATCCCTGTTATTATGACAGAAACAACTTACAACAATGGCTATATTTCTTGTTGGTGAATTGTCTTCGATACCATCATAAATACACATCAGATAGTTATTAGGTTTCAAATGTGTTGTCTGTCCTTCTTTTTGTTCGTTATCTATGTCAGAAATAGGATCCACATGTTGGTATGTTAAGGAAAAATTGAACCAAACATGCTATAATTTCCACAAGATACTCTGCTCAAAGTATATGATGGCTAAATTTTCAAAAATTAGACGCATCTTTGTTGTAAGTGATAATGTCTCTTTCAGTATGAAATTCATTAATAAATACCAGAAAAGTCTAAATGTCACATTCACATTAATGATTAATTCAAAGTTCATCTACTGATGAAGGACAGTGTGATGAGAATATCAATAAAATTAATAGTAGTAATATTAGAAGCATTAACCCCTGAAATGTCAATAAAAAAAAGAAGCCAAAGCCAGAAAAGATTTCGGTATGTCACCGATAGATTTTATAAAAGGATATCTTCTCCAATAAGTGTAGATTTTGTATATAGAGCCGAGAGTTTACGTGTAAATGGAGTATTTCTATTGTCCCCTGCTGCTTTCAATGCTGCTGTTTCCATCTGTTTAACTACACCAACCTTAAATATGTATTGAGGAATAACATAATAAACAATAACTCTCTACTGTTACAATAAAACAAGTGTGATCATTTTCATTTTATCAAAATTATATTGAACCCCTCTCGCATGTTTAGCCAATGCAAACTCACTTCGATCAATTTTTATTTTATCTAAATTATATTGAAACCCTCCCACATATTTAGCCAATGCAAACTCACTCTGATCAATTTTTATTTTATCCAAATTATATATGTAAATTTGGACATCTGATAGACAGCAACTAACCATGCTATATTTTTCACATCTCATTTTGCAATCATCTCATTTAAGCTCTTCATATTAATATGCACATATAATTACCCAAATATCTTAAACTTCTTATCTTATTTTTGTTAATTTATCAACTTTCCAATGGATATTTATATGGATCATCATTTTTAGCCCACTCTGGATCAGTCTATTGCTACAAACACCTCAATTGATATGCCATTGAATTCCAATAGTAATAATAGCAAGGAATTATTCAATTATTGTAAATGAAGATTTCTGTGATATACAATAAATTGTACAAACCTTATAACCAGCAGTAACTAATCTTCGTACGTGTACAAATAATCTGTGAGTAGGAATACTTGCCGTCATAAAATTATGATCCATGTGACAATATATTTTCAAAACTTTAGCTGCAATCTGTAAAATTAAAATGTATGATTCACAGTATGTAATTCAACTTCTGTAATTAAGAAAATTTTGCATTTATGAAAGAAGGCGAATAATGCAAACTATAGCTGCTCCCAATATATATATAGATACATGTATGCAATTTATTTGGACATAGGGCAAATATTAACTTGAGAATATGCTTCTATGTCCAATAGGCCCTATCTGTGGTGTGTTCTAATGGTGAATTTATTTGATAAGCCATTATTTGATTCTCTCTTTCAAGTAATCACCATATCCTTCGATGATACTCATTGATTACAATGTAGATGTAATGTAATAACTGGTATGTTAACGCAGTTAAAAGCATTCAATGAACATATTTTACCTCTGAATTACACTTAGTTAATCAAGCTATTGAAAAGCATTAAATTCATTGAGAAGTTTAGCTCAAGTTAATAGCGGACTGTCCAGGTCGGATAAACGGAATGGCAATATTGGAAGAGATATATAAAGCAAAAGAGAGAGAAGGTTTATACAGAATTTCAGATAACAACTGGGCTTTTTTTATTTCATCAAGTTATAATATTTAAGTGAATTTGTTAAAAATGATTTCTAAGAACTTACTTCTGCATCTTCACCAAAGAATCTATATTTATAACCACATTCCACAAATAAAACAGCATCTTCATATTGTTCTTTTATCTGCATATATTGTAATTCTAATGGTGTATACTTAGATTTCTTAATAAAGCAGGAATTCTTGGACTTGGAATTTGAAAACTGATTTAATCTAGAATGAGATGTTCCACTTGTTGATGCAGTTATTTCCACATCCGTATCATCACTGCTGTTTTTTGTCTCATCAACAACTGCCAAACTATCAATGTCATGAACATTTCTTGGTGTCCTTATTTCACGAATGCCATCATTATTCAATTCTGATGAAAACTGGTGCAGCTTCTGTAAAGTAGCACCAGACAAAGCTCCTGTACACTGGGAAGAATTTGCTGAATATTTCTCACCATGATGATCATCAACATTAATGGCTTCATTCACTGAATTTCCATTTTGTGAACTAGTTTTCGATTTTTTATTGGATGTTGAAGGATTATTGGCATCATCGATTACTGCTTTTCGTTTCGAATTTTTCTTACTCTAAAAAAAGTTAAGTCAATATCAATGAAGCAGGGCCTACCTGATAAACTCAAATACTGTTAAGAAACTTTGCTAAAATGTAATCAAAGTTCAGTAATTACCTGCAAAATTCTATTACTCGATAGAAACAACTAAAATGAAAGTATAGCGGGAAGTTGTAACTGTGTACGTCTATAAAGACAGGTAATTATCCAGGTACATTAAATAAAATTAAATGGGATTTTAAGTACTACTTATCTGTACCAACCGGGCTAATGAATTTTGGCATATCATGTAGCTTGCTGCTAAGAGGAAAATTTTATCTAAACAGCGGCCGTTGCGCTATGACCTACTCTTATTTTGAATTCAAACTGTACGTGCATGCTGTGTACACAAGACCTAGGTTTGTTATTCCATATGCATGACTAGATACTGTTCCTTGCCAGGTCCTCCTAACTGCACCATTAATGCTCAAACATCCTGAGGAACTTTCTCAGCTAATATCCTGGCACAAGTTAATTGCTAGTCAAGAAACTCATCTCCAACACCATCTGGCAAAGTTCTGACATTTGAAACCAAACCACTGAGCTTCAAATAGTTGCTTGGGTCTAGAATAAAGGATTTTCAGAACCTTCTACACACAATTAACCAGGTTTTTTTTACAGAAATACATCTGGAATTTCTTCTTTAACATTAGAGCTTGTATTAAGAACACTAATGGAAGCATGTTAAATTTACTAAAATTTCAATATTTATACTTCAGAATTTTTTACTCTGCTACATGTACCTTGACTCTTATTTCTTCATCAGTGTTGAAACTATTTTCTCCTCTTGATTTTTCCTTTAAAGCAAAGAATTTAGATAATGTGACCTGTTGTTTTTTATTCTGCATTTTAAAGTGATCCAGCCATGAAATCTGAAAAAAGAAAGACAATGCTCAACAGTTGAATCTTTGTTAGCCTAGATGTTTGCAATTTTTGATAAGGATTCATCCAACATTGACCAGCATAATACAGTTCATTTAAACCATTGGACTCTATCAGCAAAAAAATATTACATTGTGATATCTTGTGGGAAGGAATTTGGACAATTGTTATAACTGAGGTGAATCTACATAAGTGAGCATTCATTCAAGCATCTGTCCACCAGCTTCTTACTAACAATATACCACACATGACATGAGGTAGTAACTGCAGAGAGAAATAGGACTAGGAGGACAAGTTCTAAAATATGCAACAACTTTTACCAGATGCTGAAAGCTTATAGAGAGCAATAACCCTAAAAGTAAATATTGGAAATCAGTTAATTGCAACAGGTGCACACATCTTACCAATATAAACAATCAACATAAATTTTTAAATAATAGATCCAATAATAACTTATAGCCTCAAACGAGTGACCAAAACATGATGCAAATTACTAAAGCCCATGATCTGAAATCATTAATAACTTTCACCTAAGTTAGATTAGAATGTTTACAAGATTCTAAAATTAAAGTGAAAAAGAGTGATGACTGAAAGTAATTATTAGAATTCAGTGAAATTCAAAATAGCTGTAATCCTGTAACTATTCAATCTATTAAATTACTAGTTATTGATTGTGGTTATAGCTATATGAACTCTAAACTGAAAAGTGTAATGTCGTGCAGGGCACCCGATACTGCTAAATGCTATTAAAATAGGGCTAGCTTAGTTATTATTTAGCATGCACTATTATCTGCTGTTATTTATAGAGCTGGCTCATGCTAGTTAATTTACGGAACACCTGGATATATATAGTATAAGTGAGTACCGGTACTAATATATTATCTGACATGTACTAGTAATAAAGCGCAGGCAAACCACATCGCACATAACTGTTCACTTGATCTGATGGTAGGTGTTTGCATGTCCCTGGGCTTGGGAGCAGGTCGTTTCATCCCATGACAGGTTCACCCCGGGCTGTTTCATCCCAAATTGACCCCGGGCTGTTTCATCTCACATATCGGGTCGTTTCATCCCACATATCGGGTCGTTTCATCCCACATATCGGGTCGTTTCATCCCACATATCGGGTCGTTTCATCCCACAAATCAATAAACAGGTTTTACGTATTTTTAATATTTTATTCATACATTTATAACAATAACAACATGTCATGGCACTTTTAGTAATACTATTTGTATCATTTCATACATAAATCATTTCATACATAAATCATTTCATAAATAAATCAATTACTTTGATTTCATTAAATTATCTTAAATTTCATTAAATTATCTTAAATTTCATTAAATCATTTCATACATAAATCATACATAAATCCTTTACTTTGATTTCATTAAATTATCTATTTACGGCTTTTATAAATAAATGTATTTGTTAAATTTCATTAAATTATTTCATGAATAAATGTATCTGTTAAATTATTTTATGTATTTATTGTATTTGTTAAATTAAATTCTTTAAATTATTTGTTAAACTATTTCATTAAATTTGTACATAAATTTTAGTAAACTATTTATGGCCATACAAGTTACCCGCTAGTTTTAAAAAACTACTCGTTGTGATTGATCTATCATTGTATTTCCCCCAGGCTTCAAATATTTTAGTGTTTATTTTACAATATTTTTTCCTACAATTTCTAAAATTCACCCCTTCCTCAACCATTGTCCACTGCATATCTATTAATTCTCCGTCTTCCTTCAAAATTGGTAGTAAAACATAAAAACTGAGACCCGCTCCCATACACCTTGAATTTAGACGCCTGTGCCATCCTGAGATACATTAATCTCATATTAAAGAATGTCAACATGTAATAAGAATATTCAATTAAACTACTAATTATTATTAAATGTAAATAATATTGAATGTAAATAATATTGAATGTAAATAATATTGAATGTAAATAATATTGAATGTAAGTATAATGTAAGTAATTAAATTAACTCACCTTCACAATCATTATTTGTTCGGAAAGCCATCATGAAAATGCTAATATTATTTAGAGAATAGATGGAAGACTCGAACCAGGTTTGTAAAGGGTCCTTGTTTGCCATCAGACACAACTTGTCGAAGGCGGCTAGCATGTGGTCGGGGCGTAATTATAGATGGTCTTCCTTTCGTAGTAGGTACCCGCCAAACCAACACCCTGAACCTTCCTCCAAACGCATTGTTTCCAATGAAAAACACAGCCCTTCAACTTCATCCCGGGGAACACTTTTCTGATAGCTGACCAGCAACCTGGTTCGAAGTCCAACATGCCACATTCTACTGCAGGTTGATATCGTTCCTTTATATGTCTTAGTACCTACAATAACAAATGATTACAATATGTAAATGTAAAGATTGCAATATGTAAATATAAATTGTATTGTAATATGCATGATATGTATTAAAATATGTATAGATAAATTGTTACCATGAATACTATTTATTTATTTATTTATTAACCCACCTCTTCATAATCTTCGGACGACCTCCTTGTCATCGGGACAAAACATAGCGGTACCTGCTTCATACTGTCCCCTTTTTTTAAAAAACCATGTATGGACCACAACTGGGAAAACGGCTTTCTTACTTACTACTTTAAAAGTCCCATCCATAAACCATCTTTTGCACGTTTTCAAAAGCTCTAGCTGTGTTTGTGTGGCAAACATTAGATGTCTATGCTCGCCGACCATCACCTCATTTACTAAAAATTCATCCCCGATGAACTCTTTGTTAACCTGAAACATACAATATGATAAACATGTTAACCTGAAACATACAATAGATAATCCTTGTTGGAAATGCCTAAAAAAATAGATTTACTATCAATAAATTAAATAAATAAATAAATATATTGGATTTACTAAAAATAAATTAAATAAATAAATATATTCGATTTACTAAATAAATATATTCGATTTACTAAATAAATATATTCGATTTACTATCAATAAATAAAATTAAAAAAATAGATCAATAATATTTCAAGCTAACTCACCTGTATTGCATGTCCGATGCTGCCAACAATCACAAATGTCACATGTCACGGCATGTTGACGGGGTCGAACAACGGTGGAGCAACGAATACAAAGATCAGCCATGGTGTAAATCCAAAAGATGAATGATAATCTTTCACTTTCGGATCATATTTATAGTTAGATAACGCCTTAGATCAAAGTAATTATTTTTAATTGATCATTTATCTGGCTTCTTACTTAAAATGTGTAAATACAACTCAACTCTCCCGCCATGTTTTTATTACTAATCCATAACAATTAATTGCGTGTTTATTTAATAATAAACAATGAAGTACATGTTTATTTAACAATAAGTAAGTGTTTAACAGTTTATTCGACAATAAGTACAACTCAGTTAATTAAATGCTACTACAATAACAAGGGGGATGAAACAGCCCGATAGAAAATTAGGTGTGGGATGAAACAGCCCGGGGTGAACCGGTCGTGGGATGAAAGGACCTGCACCACCTGGGCTTTAGGTCTACAGATATACATGTATCTAGCGGTGTGCACTCCCTGATAGTGTGCCAGATATATATCCTTTTTATTATGTGCCTATTACCGGCCTCTTTAAATTTAACAACCATCAATTTAACCGCCATCGAAATAATTTATACCTGCAGCCTACATGCAACCAAATTCTATTTTTTTGGCACCCTTTTAGCTAAGTCACTTCAGTCTTCTCTTCAAAAATATTAAGGACCAGACAACAATAATCATAAAACACGGATACGTTTTCCATAACAATCTAAAACTGATGTATAATAGTAAAGTAGCAGAACATGACAATTCAGCGATCTACCAAAATCTTTCAATATTCCATTAATTTACAAAACCTTCTTTCGTAAATTCTTACCTTTTTTTTTCAGCAGTAAACCGGAAGGGATAACAAAATGGAGTTGTCTCCCCTAATTAACTTTTTACAAAAATAACTTTCGTTATGTCGGGGGTATAGGCATCTAAATGGAAAATAAAATTTGAAATAAATCAAATATGCCAAAAATGGAATGTGTCTAAATATTCCCCGAGAAACACTACAGACAGACACAATTTGCTCTGGAACTGCTTCTTTAATTTCATTGCAATTTATGAAGTTTTTAACTCCGTCTTAAATTAATTTATATTGGTTGTAGTAGGTCTACTACTTGTAGCCTAGCAATTTAGCTATTTAAATCGTAGTTATAATGACTTTTCGTTGCATATATTAATATGTGCATTATATTTTAGGTTTTCGAAAGCATTTCAGTGTAACTTACAAGTTTATCTTGGTCGCCACTTTGCGGGGTTGTCAAATTACTTTACTGGTAGTTGGTAGTTTTTGAATAATTTTGCTTTTTATAACTTTATTTATAGACACCTACGGTACATAAAGGAGGGCACTGGCTAGGATTATTGGGCGACCGGCCCCGGCCCCGCCCCCCCCCCTCGCCCATATAGCACACTGCATGACATATGCCCGTCTGTATTAGCCCAGTTGTAGGAGAAAAGTAAGACGTTTATTCCCATCCATTCCATTAATTCATTATAGCAGGCCCGTAGCTAGTTTTGTTTGTGTGTGTGGGGGGGGGGGGCTTCTGGAGGCGCCGATGTACCTACACTTGATGGTCCACATCGAACGGCACCGTGGACGCGCTTCTAGGGTGCTCTTCCCAAGAAAATTTTGGAAAATAGGTTTTGCACCTGAGGAGAAGAACTATGAATATTTGGCGGAAAATTTCAATTTTGCGGCTGAATTTGCAATATAAGCGTATTATGATATTGTGATATGACCATTATTAAAATTTGAAGGAAGGAATACGAATTTTTCGTGCCTATAATAATTTATGAGAAAAACGAAAAGTTCGGAATCGGTTTGAGTGCGTTTTGTTTGAATTTTGAAGATTATCACGCCTGCTGCGGGCTTGAATCAATCTCACTCGGTATTATTTATTATGTGCGGCCTGACAATCATGTAGGCACCCCACTGACAACGTTTTGGACACCCTATCAATCAAGTTGTGATGTTAATTGCGTGATTCATCTTTAAGCGCCTCACCATTTGTGGGGCGCCTCATATAACGATATGATTGGCGAGGCGCCCATAAATACAAGTATCACTTGGGCGCCCAACCAATATTACTCGGCTTTATGGGGCGCCCATGCATACTGATATGGGCACTATGGTCGTTGGCTTCGTATTGCGTCCAATAGAAAGCGGGCTTTTGGCGTCTATTGGAGGATCAGATTTTTTCCGGGGGGGGGGGGGGCAGCTGCCCCCTTGCCCCATTGCCCCCCTCCCCGCTAGCAACGGGCATGTATATAGACATCTGCCTATTCTGTTTCTGTTACCCGGTTCCATACATTTGTTTTGGTGGTTGTAGTGTTGCTTACAATATCCGTGTTTTATTATCTTGTCGGTTTGACTCTACGTAGCTATTAAAACAAACATCAACATGAGAACGCTGATCGTCTGTAATATGCAATCAAAATATAAACCACTGTTCGGAAAAATATATTTATTTAAATCACAAAAAAAAACACCAATGATTATTTATTCTACAAATATATCAATACCACATTTTATGTAAATATTATAGTCGGAGAAACATCACATAACAAATGAATTTGTACTGAAACCAAGTAGCTAAATTGGTCAAAATAGGCCTACTGCATTATAATTGGTATTATTAACGAATCTGTCATAATCTACAAACTAAGATTCCGATCAAATTCTTGTTTGGTATTATATATATATGTATAGTATAGTATTATTAGTATATTCACAGCTTTTCAGTTATGAATACTGTCCACAAGAAAAAAAAATAACATAGGCCTACTTTTACAACTACTATTTGACTGATGTTCGATAATAAAGACAAAGAAACAATACACCTACATTTTCTGAGAAGGTCCAGCGGGAGGTCTGCAGAGTCCGGGACAATGACTTATTTATGTGTTGTGCCAATAGGTCTACTGTCATAGTAAAAACAGGGAGGATTACCTAAGAGACCTTCATATTTATTTATAAAACGTATTCGTAAATCTAGTACCGGCTCGCGAAGTAATATAAATATAAGGCCCTTTTTGGTAAACAAAAAGAAAAAAGACAAATCTGCGTTATAGTTACTAAAGCACCTTGTAGGCTACACCACTCTTTTATAGCGGATTGTCGCATTTAGGGAAATCTAGCTGCTAACATACACTTTGGGATTCTTAGAATAATATGTATTATGTAGTTTAATCAATAAAGAACATGCGTTTCTCGGCGTTGTAATCCACAGAACCCATGTTTTTACTTTGGGTTCTCCTACTTTCTTCGTCGTTTTTACTTTTGGTTTTGCCACTTTCTTCGTCGTTTTTACTTTGAACGTTCCTACTTTCGTCATCGTTTTCTTTGTCATTTGATTTTGACCAGCTGTCTGGAAACCAGTCTGTAAGCACACTTCTGTAGATACCCAAAAGAATATCCACTATTCCAAACGGTTGTTCGTCAGATTTTAAACTCTCTCGAACAGTTACAAGGCCTATATTAAGAATAGCTTGAAACATTGTTAACAAAACAAAAGTGACAAAAAATACAAAAAGTGCAAAATAAATAGGTGCTATTGATGGGGAAACCATAAGCATTTCCGCCAAATGATTTTTACCAAGAGTATACGTTATCAGTGTTGTGATGACATCAAATAATGTTCTGAATTCATTAATATGGCTGTAAAAGAGAACATATCCTGTAGATACGAATCCCAGGAATATGATCCCAAATAGAGTTCCAAATCCTGACAGATCTCTTGCTGCACGTTTGAGAACAGATGCAATGATTGTTATTCTTTTATTATATCCCAAAACACGCAGCATGCCAAGCGTGGTTAGAAATAGCAGAAATGCAACAGCAACGACGAACGCAAAATCAAACCAGACAACGTGCTCGAAATTAACAAACTTTTTCGGATTTTCTTTAAATTTGGACAAGGTTCTACTAAGATATACTTCCTTTAGAACAAAGATAGTGAAGCCAAATATAGCGATGATTATACTCAGGACATCAATAATGTGCCAAAAATCTTTGAAGTAATTCCATTTATCTTTCTTTATCCCTTTGACAGCCATGCCGGTTAGAATGATCATAATTATAAACACAACAATTTCACACGCGATGACAAATAATCCCATGGCTGTGACATGTTGGAATATTCTAAGAGTATTTATATGATGCCATTTCACAGTTCCTCCGTATTCGGGGAACTCTGCTATAATACGCACCACGATCAGGAGGTTTGAGTCAGCATTGTACAACGAGAACTCGACAAAAACTGCCCGAGTCTGACGATCGAGCCACAGATTATCATATAGCTGATTAAACATGTTAACCGAGGCATCATAATTGATATCCATATCAAAAAAGTACCCTCCACCACCATATATATCAATGTTACCGGTAACTGGTAATCCCCAAGCCTCGCCCGAAGATGTATATTCCCAGGCAGGTACAGTAATGCTGGTAGCCTTATCCTCTATGCTACATGGGGGTGTTTTCCATCCTATACAATAATCATTTGTATCTTCGTGATCCCCAGTATAGGACCAGTAGTAAGAACGATTGCCTAAAAGACCTCCAAATTTTTTCCCAAAAAGTAATCCTAAATCTGGCGCAGGCCCTGTAAAATAAGAGAATGGATAACTGAATACAAAAATACCTGGTTGCCCAGACCTTATTTATGTATGTGAAGCGGACAAGTCTCAAAAGAAATACTGGAAACAGTATGGAATCAAAATCATGCTTGAAGAGCAAAATGGAACCTGGTTTAACGTTCTAGATTTCTGCACCGACTTGGCCATAATGACCACATATGCTTTCGAATACATAAAATTGGGTGAGACTTACTTTCCTTAGTTCGGATCTGTCGAATTCTCAAGGGACCAACTCGAAAGTTTGCCATGTCAGAAAAGAAAAGTTTTTCCCTCCAGTTTAGCAAACCACCATTAAAATTATAAGTAGCAAACGCTTCGGGAAGTAGATTATATTTAGTCCACGCCATGAAATGGGTTCTGTTGATGATCTGCAAGTAAGAGAAAACATGTGAAACAAATAAAAATCCAGTTTAAGATTTGATACATACATACAATTTATACATACATTTGATAGGAAACCTTATGACACGTTTAAGGAGTCCATGTAGCTAACTAACAATTTGTATTATTTTTGAATTTCGATACCAGGTACATGGCATGGCGCCGATGCCACAAACATGGTAAACCCAGCACTATTTATATTAAGCAGTGAGTGCGGCACAGTGGGTATGGTGCTGGTTCACTCACTAGGGGGTTCCGGGTTCGACCCCGCTTTGTATCTAATTATCCGTGTTACAGGACGGGAGGGGTGGGGGTGGAAGAAACAACAACCAGTCGTTCGGATAGGACCGAAAGCCGATCCCTCGTGTTTCCGCGGGCAACACGTTAAAGATGCCCTGACAGTCGCGCTCGTTGGTACAGACTTGTAATAGTAAGTACAGGAAGACTGCACTACACACAAAACAAATGAAATGAAATGAAATGTGGTTTTATGGCACGTCAGCTAACACAAAACAAAGACGTTAATCCCCATATTTCGTTTCATATCTGCGAACTAACTTGTATTGTCTTTTGTATCAATTTGCATCAGAACCCCAATATTTGACTTACTTTATCAAAACGATTTGTAAAGAGTCTTGTTTCCATGTGATGTTTAAATTGGTAAGATAATGTATCTCTGTTACCATAACCGATTGTAAATAACGATAGGATGAACAGTGTGTAAATAATAATCTCTACAAATACACCGTAGGCTTTAGATTCCTGTTCATTGCGACGTCGTGCTCTTCGTAATTCGTCATCAGATACAGGGGGTGGTAGTTCAATATTTAAATCTGAAACAAATGAATAATCACCACAACTAGTTGTAAGTAGTATCGAGTGCCACTATAGCTCTTCTCAGTGGAGTTCAGGCTGTTAAGAAATCTTATTTGTCGACCCTGCGTATCTCCAGATAAGAGATGGTTCTAGCTTTTTTTACCTGGCAAAAATACGTTGCAAATCAGATAGTACTTCAACAAGCAAAACTTTAAATGTTTTCTTCAAAACAACGATTGATTATTGTTATTTATTACATTTCTGACACATCCAACTACAATTAAGCATATAATCCAACCTGACAGGGTACAAACCACCTCTTTTAAATCGAGGCGATAATAGCTGGCTTTTCCCCGACATCTTAAAACAGAACAGTTTGATGTCTAGTTACGTCATGAAGGCAGGGCTAAATGTATGTCGTGTACAACAGCCAATCAAGATGTGAGACACAAAACCACAAGTAGGGTGTTGAGCTTGACTAATGAATTTTGTAAAAACACCGCTTGATTAAATTTACTGACAACATTTGCTGATAAACTAAAGTTATTTCACTACATTGGTGTGTTAATTAATCCCATTAGTATAAAATATTTAAGGTGTTACGTGCGTTAATAAAGAAATTATGTTTTCATGGTGAAACTAAAGGTACCCAATCGCAGCTAAAAACAAACATAACACAGTATATCTTAACGTTCTCGTAGCTGCAGTTTAGGTACCTTAGATAGCTATATATGGCTTATCGACAGGCATTCTAAGCACAGGAGAGCAATAAGTTTATAAAGAACGTGTTTTACCTTCAGAATTCTTGGCACGTTTTTCTGCTTCTGTTTGTAAAACTGAAAGATCTAACTTTTGTTGTTTTATGTACGGATTCCTCAGCAGTATTGCAAATGCAAAGGCTATGGCGGCTACCTGAAACATTCAGAACAAACGCATACACGTGCTAAATAAGCTCATATGTCATCGATGTATGGAAGCCAATGTTTACACTTTAACCCCCTTTTGCTTTAGCGTTAACTAAGTGCAAAGGTGGATTCAAGAAGCCGCGACAAATGGTCCTAATCTGGCTTGCTGTGCTATAGGTTCAACGCGGAGGCAAAAAGGCTAGACATAATCAGTGCGAAGCCTAGAAATCGAGTCAGTTCGTGCACCCGATTAGATTTTATTACATACTTCGAGAAGGTATTTGTTGAGTAATAAAACCTTCTAGTAGTTTATCGAGGGCTGGCCGTCCTTACCGCACGGTACAAATAAAACCTTCTAGTAGTTTATCGAGGTTCGGGTGCTTCCGGAGTCCAAAATGGCCGCTTTATATAAATGAGAATTTTGGGGATAACTAACCCGAACCTTAACCCTAATCCTTTTTAAAAGACTGAATTTGGGTCTAATTTAGTTTTTACTTCTCTTAAAAGGGTTAGGGTTAGGGTTCGGGTTAGTATTCCCCTAAATACTCATTTGTATAAAGCGGCCATTTTGGTATGAGTTCTGGCTTGTTCTGGAATTTGTTGCTTCTAGTGGTGATAATATTTGTACCGTGCGGTAAGGACGGCCAGCCCTCGATAAACTACTAGAAGGTTTTATTACTCAACAAATACTTTCTCGAAGTATGTAAATACAAGTATCACTTGGGCGCCCAACCAATATTACTCGGCTTTATGGGGCGCCCATGCATACTGATATGGGCACTATGGTCGTTGGCTTCGTATTGCGTCCAATAGAAAGCGGGCTTTTGGCGTCTATTGGAGGATCAGATTTTTTCCGGGGGGGGGGGGGGGCAGCTGCCCCCTTGCCCCATTGCCCCCCTCCCCGCTAGCAACGGGCATGTATATAGACATCTGCCTATTCTGTTTCTGTTACCCGGTTCCATACATTTGTTTTGGTGGTTGTAGTGTTGCTTACAATATCCGTGTTTTATTATCTTGTCGGTTTGACTCTACGTAGCTATTAAAACAAACATCAACATGAGAACGCTGATCGTCTGTAATATGCAATCAAAATATAAACCACTGTTCGGAAAAATATATTTATTTAAATCACAAAAAAAAACACCAATGATTATTTATTCTACAAATATATCAATACCACATTTTATGTAAATATTATAGTCGGAGAAACATCACATAACAAATGAATTTGTACTGAAACCAAGTAGCTAAATTGGTCAAAATAGGCCTACTGCATTATAATTGGTATTATTAACGAATCTGTCATAATCTACAAACTAAGATTCCGATCAAATTCTTGTTTGGTATTATATATATATGTATAGTATAGTATTATTAGTATATTCACAGCTTTTCAGTTATGAATACTGTCCACAAGAAAAAAAAATAACATAGGCCTACTTTTACAACTACTATTTGACTGATGTTCGATAATAAAGACAAAGAAACAATACACCTACATTTTCTGAGAAGGTCCAGCGGGAGGTCTGCAGAGTCCGGGACAATGACTTATTTATGTGTTGTGCCAATAGGTCTACTGTCATAGTAAAAACAGGGAGGATTACCTAAGAGACCTTCATATTTATTTATAAAACGTATTCGTAAATCTAGTACCGGCTCGCGAAGTAATATAAATATAAGGCCCTTTTTGGTAAACAAAAAGAAAAAAGACAAATCTGCGTTATAGTTACTAAAGCACCTTGTAGGCTACACCACTCTTTTATAGCGGATTGTCGCATTTAGGGAAATCTAGCTGCTAACATACACTTTGGGATTCTTAGAATAATATGTATTATGTAGTTTAATCAATAAAGAACATGCGTTTCTCGGCGTTGTAATCCACAGAACCCATGTTTTTACTTTGGGTTCTCCTACTTTCTTCGTCGTTTTTACTTTTGGTTTTGCCACTTTCTTCGTCGTTTTTACTTTGAACGTTCCTACTTTCGTCATCGTTTTCTTTGTCATTTGATTTTGACCAGCTGTCTGGAAACCAGTCTGTAAGCACACTTCTGTAGATACCCAAAAGAATATCCACTATTCCAAACGGTTGTTCGTCAGATTTTAAACTCTCTCGAACAGTTACAAGGCCTATATTAAGAATAGCTTGAAACATTGTTAACAAAACAAAAGTGACAAAAAATACAAAAAGTGCAAAATAAATAGGTGCTATTGATGGGGAAACCATAAGCATTTCCGCCAAATGATTTTTACCAAGAGTATACGTTATCAGTGTTGTGATGACATCAAATAATGTTCTGAATTCATTAATATGGCTGTAAAAGAGAACATATCCTGTAGATACGAATCCCAGGAATATGATCCCAAATAGAGTTCCAAATCCTGACAGATCTCTTGCTGCACGTTTGAGAACAGATGCAATGATTGTTATTCTTTTATTATATCCCAAAACACGCAGCATGCCAAGCGTGGTTAGAAATAGCAGAAATGCAACAGCAACGACGAACGCAAAATCAAACCAGACAACGTGCTCGAAATTAACAAACTTTTTCGGATTTTCTTTAAATTTGGACAAGGTTCTACTAAGATATACTTCCTTTAGAACAAAGATAGTGAAGCCAAATATAGCGATGATTATACTCAGGACATCAATAATGTGCCAAAAATCTTTGAAGTAATTCCATTTATCTTTCTTTATCCCTTTGACAGCCATGCCGGTTAGAATGATCATAATTATAAACACAACAATTTCACACGCGATGACAAATAATCCCATGGCTGTGACATGTTGGAATATTCTAAGAGTATTTATATGATGCCATTTCACAGTTCCTCCGTATTCGGGGAACTCTGCTATAATACGCACCACGATCAGGAGGTTTGAGTCAGCATTGTACAACGAGAACTCGACAAAAACTGCCCGAGTCTGACGATCGAGCCACAGATTATCATATAGCTGATTAAACATGTTAACCGAGGCATCATAATTGATATCCATATCAAAAAAGTACCCTCCACCACCATATATATCAATGTTACCGGTAACTGGTAATCCCCAAGCCTCGCCCGAAGATGTATATTCCCAGGCAGGTACAGTAATGCTGGTAGCCTTATCCTCTATGCTACATGGGGGTGTTTTCCATCCTATACAATAATCATTTGTATCTTCGTGATCCCCAGTATAGGACCAGTAGTAAGAACGATTGCCTAAAAGACCTCCAAATTTTTTCCCAAAAAGTAATCCTAAATCTGGCGCAGGCCCTGTAAAATAAGAGAATGGATAACTGAATACAAAAATACCTGGTTGCCCAGACCTTATTTATGTATGTGAAGCGGACAAGTCTCAAAAGAAATACTGGAAACAGTATGGAATCAAAATCATGCTTGAAGAGCAAAATGGAACCTGGTTTAACGTTCTAGATTTCTGCACCGACTTGGCCATAATGACCACATATGCTTTCGAATACATAAAATTGGGTGAGACTTACTTTCCTTAGTTCGGATCTGTCGAATTCTCAAGGGACCAACTCGAAAGTTTGCCATGTCAGAAAAGAAAAGTTTTTCCCTCCAGTTTAGCAAACCACCATTAAAATTATAAGTAGCAAACGCTTCGGGAAGTAGATTATATTTAGTCCACGCCATGAAATGGGTTCTGTTGATGATCTGCAAGTAAGAGAAAACATGTGAAACAAATAAAAATCCAGTTTAAGATTTGATACATACATACAATTTATACATACATTTGATAGGAAACCTTATGACACGTTTAAGGAGTCCATGTAGCTAACTAACAATTTGTATTATTTTTGAATTTCGATACCAGGTACATGGCATGGCGCCGATGCCACAAACATGGTAAACCCAGCACTATTTATATTAAGCAGTGAGTGCGGCACAGTGGGTATGGTGCTGGTTCACTCACTAGGGGGTTCCGGGTTCGACCCCGCTTTGTATCTAATTATCCGTGTTACAGGACGGGAGGGGTGGGGGTGGAAGAAACAACAACCAGTCGTTCGGATAGGACCGAAAGCCGATCCCTCGTGTTTCCGCGGGCAACACGTTAAAGATGCCCTGACAGTCGCGCTCGTTGGTACAGACTTGTAATAGTAAGTACAGGAAGACTGCACTACACACAAAACAAATGAAATGAAATGAAATGTGGTTTTATGGCACGTCAGCTAACACAAAACAAAGACGTTAATCCCCATATTTCGTTTCATATCTGCGAACTAACTTGTATTGTCTTTTGTATCAATTTGCATCAGAACCCCAATATTTGACTTACTTTATCAAAACGATTTGTAAAGAGTCTTGTTTCCATGTGATGTTTAAATTGGTAAGATAATGTATCTCTGTTACCATAACCGATTGTAAATAACGATAGGATGAACAGTGTGTAAATAATAATCTCTACAAATACACCGTAGGCTTTAGATTCCTGTTCATTGCGACGTCGTGCTCTTCGTAATTCGTCATCAGATACAGGGGGTGGTAGTTCAATATTTAAATCTGAAACAAATGAATAATCACCACAACTAGTTGTAAGTAGTATCGAGTGCCACTATAGCTCTTCTCAGTGGAGTTCAGGCTGTTAAGAAATCTTATTTGTCGACCCTGCGTATCTCCAGATAAGAGATGGTTCTAGCTTTTTTTACCTGGCAAAAATACGTTGCAAATCAGATAGTACTTCAACAAGCAAAACTTTAAATGTTTTCTTCAAAACAACGATTGATTATTGTTATTTATTACATTTCTGACACATCCAACTACAATTAAGCATATAATCCAACCTGACAGGGTACAAACCACCTCTTTTAAATCGAGGCGATAATAGCTGGCTTTTCCCCGACATCTTAAAACAGAACAGTTTGATGTCTAGTTACGTCATGAAGGCAGGGCTAAATGTATGTCGTGTACAACAGCCAATCAAGATGTGAGACACAAAACCACAAGTAGGGTGTTGAGCTTGACTAATGAATTTTGTAAAAACACCGCTTGATTAAATTTACTGACAACATTTGCTGATAAACTAAAGTTATTTCACTACATTGGTGTGTTAATTAATCCCATTAGTATAAAATATTTAAGGTGTTACGTGCGTTAATAAAGAAATTATGTTTTCATGGTGAAACTAAAGGTACCCAATCGCAGCTAAAAACAAACATAACACAGTATATCTTAACGTTCTCGTAGCTGCAGTTTAGGTACCTTAGATAGCTATATATGGCTTATCGACAGGCATTCTAAGCACAGGAGAGCAATAAGTTTATAAAGAACGTGTTTTACCTTCAGAATTCTTGGCACGTTTTTCTGCTTCTGTTTGTAAAACTGAAAGATCTAACTTTTGTTGTTTTATGTACGGATTCCTCAGCAGTATTGCAAATGCAAAGGCTATGGCGGCTACCTGAAACATTCAGAACAAACGCATACACGTGCTAAATAAGCTCATATGTCATCGATGTATGGAAGCCAATGTTTACACTTTAACCCCCTTTTGCTTTAGCGTTAACTAAGTGCAAAGGTGGATTCAAGAAGCCGCGACAAATGGTCCTAATCTGGCTTGCTGTGCTATAGGTTCAACGCGGAGGCAAAAAGGCTAGACATAATCAGTGCGAAGCCTAGAAATCGAGTCAGTTCGTGCACCCGATTAGATTTTATTACATACTTCGAGAAGGTATTTGTTGAGTAATAAAACCTTCTAGTAGTTTATCGAGGGCTGGCCGTCCTTACCGCACGGTACAAATAAAACCTTCTAGTAGTTTATCGAGGTTCGGGTGCTTCCGGAGTCCAAAATGGCCGCTTTATATAAATGAGAATTTTGGGGATAACTAACCCGAACCTTAACCCTAATCCTTTTTAAAAGACTGAATTTGGGTCTAATTTAGTTTTTACTTCTCTTAAAAGGGTTAGGGTTAGGGTTCGGGTTAGTATTCCCCTAAATACTCATTTGTATAAAGCGGCCATTTTGGTATGAGTTCTGGCTTGTTCTGGAATTTGTTGCTTCTAGTGGTGATAATATTTGTACCGTGCGGTAAGGACGGCCAGCCCTCGATAAACTACTAGAAGGTTTTATTACTCAACAAATACTTTCTCGAAGTATGTAATAAAATCTAATCGGGTGGTTCTATACCTTCGCCTTGTTCATTCATTGCCTTCGTAAAATAGAGATATACATTCGTACAATACCAACCTTTATGGGGTCTGATAGTAATATATTTTCAAAGAAAGAAAGAAAAAATGCCGTGATAAATTCTTCCGATATGGATTTGCCCCACTGCATGCTGAATAATATCAGAAAAAAAGCAGATACTGCCACTGCAAGAAAAACCAAAATCCAGGCTATATATAAGCATCCATAAGGTAGTGGCTTTTCCTGGTCCATTGCGTCCATTATATCATGCTCCAATGCTTCTGCATACGATAAGGTGTTCCCTATATCTGGGTTCACATTTTTAACGTCAGAGTTTTCTTGGCCTTCGGTGAAAAGCTTTGTGGTACTAATTGACGTTGGCGATCTTGTTTCTTGTAACTGTTTAAGTTGTTGTTTTTGTCTTCTGGGTCTGGATGATCTAAACAGATAAACAATCAGGATGGATGGCGGGACTGTTATCAATAAACTAACGACAGACACGAATATAGTTGCAGCTGAGAATCTGAGAGGCCCTAATACTATTTCATTCTTTACTGTTTCTTCGTCTGTAGTTTCATTACTAGACCTGCAAAACGTGAATGATGTAAGTTTTATGTGTGAAAACAGACCATGGAAAAGAACATCCAATGTCAATAATAGTATGATAATAGTATCGAATACAATACAGATTCTATTACTACACCTTTAATTTTGTTTCGAATCTGGTTACAACACAGATCATATTTCGTTACGTTTGTATGATTTAAAATTTATCTTTACTTTTCTTCACTTATACTCCATATAGTTCCAAGTGCAGGCCATCGAAAGCATCAAAATAGAACGAAACATAGTTCTGTATTTTAATCAGAATGATTGAAATTTATTGTTTGAAACTTTTGGAGAAGATATCGCTGTTGGTGTTGATTACAAAATAAACCGCCCTGTCAAATACCAAATCAAAGGTTTATTCAAAACGTACAATGACAGGCAAAGAAACAAAACAAATAAGAAACCGATTGGATTTCAGTCGAGTCCTGTGCACAATGAACCGAGCCAAGAAGACAGTTTGTAAGTCGGATTACTTTAATTCCACGGACGCGACCGGGGTGCAGCGAATAAAGACACTAGCTAACTTAACCAGGTACTGGCTCATTTAACCAGGCGCTGGCTCACTAGTTATAACTCACTTAACCAGGCGCTGGCTCACTTAACCAGGAGGTCAACCAGTTAGATACTGGTTTAGTCCGATAAAGTTTCTGGATTTTCGGCTTGGTTTCCCCTTGTCAGTGGTGCAGGATGTGTGTGTGCCTGTGTGTGTGTGTGGGTGTGTGTGTGTTGGGGGGGGGGACGTGTGGCTGCGTGTGTGTGGGTGTGTATGTTGGATGGGGGGGGGGTGTAGTCGTTAGGTGTGTACGTAAAAGAACCTTTGACAGTTGGTATTATGTCCATGCAAAACTCATAGCGTAGCACACTGTACACCTTATGTCCGTCTTCATTAGCTAGCTTGCACAAAAAGGAAAACGATGGGACCCATTTTATACATTCAATCCTACTTTAATTCTACGGGCTATACACACGTATATAGCCAATTGATAATCTTTACCTGAAGAACATGGCGCTGACAATCATTGTCAAGAATAAAAGTGACAAACAGCAGGAGATACGTTGAGCTCTGGTAAAGGTACTTCTGTTAGGTCTTAGAAATACCGATAACCATAGATGATTATCTGTAACATTGTTTCTGGCATGTTCGGTAAATAACCGAGTCAACTTCAGATCAACTTTGCCTGATACGGGTATAACCCTGTCTATCAGGCCATCATCTCGATGAACGCTTAACCATCGATTACAATAAAACACAGCTCTAAAAAAATGAAATATCATCTGTTAGTAATGGATACACAAAAATAGGATATACATTGACAAATGGTAGTGTTGACTCTTTGAATTATTATCATACATCCTGTGCAGATAAGCTATATGGATAGGATGTTGCACGAATCAAACATCTACTCCATAAAATATTCATCGGGTGAAGTGTTTGTAAACATTGCATTTAAAGTCTATTTTGAATCCATTATATTGAACACGTTTACCTTTTACGAGTTTGAAGATCTTCAACAATCATTTTATTGAAAAACCAGGAATTGAGTCGTCCTCCAGAATTATCATGCCATATTCGTAAATACACCATACCATCTAAATCGACATCAGTTGTCATAACAAAAGTCATCACACTTCCTGTTTCTAAAAACTTAAATAGAAAAAACCGAGATTTATATCTGTTTGCATAGACTTTTTGTTGGTATCTAATCTAGGTTAACCAAACCCATTGATCAACTTTTAATTCTATTTCCATATATTCAAACTATTTTCTCAAACATTTTCAGGCCAAATTTGGGACAAATAAACCAGTTTAAAATCCACAGCTCGCTACCTATCTTGTCAGTCTCAAGGGGTCGGCTTCAACTTGCCTGCTATATCAGGGCTCGGGCATATTCATTACGTTTTGGGGAAATTTGCGGTTACAAGGTGGATATATAAACAAGTACCAAATCAACTAGAGTCTTTGATCGTAGCTTTAGCTTATAGTGAGTGTGGACGCTACTGAGTGTTTCTTCAAACACCAGCGTTTCAAAACTAGCTTATATGGCCGTATGAACGGCATCTTTGGTTTTATCCAAGAGAAAGGAAGCCATTCTTACCCTTTCCCCATCACTTAATGTTCTAACACCACTATCAGCTTTACTTGCAGTTAATACAAAGAATACATTAGAACGAGTCCCAGAATTTTTACTTAATCCGGTTTCAACTGTCAGTAGATAAAAATACTTGTCTTGTCTCAAATTATCTTTTAAGTAACCGATCCGCCACTGAAATAAAACAAATGCATGAGTACTCATCATAAAAATCACCATTCTACAAGTAAAGGAAGGGTTTATACCAAACATGCAAATTTGATACGTGCATTCATCGTAGACCTATTCTTGAAACAATGTTTACGGGGATTATCAGTTAATGCTCGTTGCCATTGCTTTAAAAAAATGTCACTTCATTTGAAATTTGACCGCAACGTCAAGTCTAATCTTTTTATTATTTTATATTCTAATAATTATATTCTAACAAACCTTTTCTTTGTCACGTCTGTCACGACGTCTAGCCCAGATAAGGAGAAGCACATAAACAAACAAAGTGGCGAGAAGGGTACCATAAACGGCGGCGTTGCTCAGATCAAATTTAGCAAACACAGTTGTAAAATCTATGGTGTTAGGTGGTGCGTAAAAGGCACCTCCGAAAGTCAAGCCAGGCGGATCTTCACATTCACAAATTGTTTCATCCAGGGTCGAATAAGGTGACACCTATATAATTTAGAAAGAAATTGGATCAAATGGAGACAGCGGTTAATATATCGCTTTCCATATTACTTTGCGCGGATGGTGTGCAATTCATTTACGATCTTGTTTTATTGTTGTTAATGTAAAGATGATTCTTTACTAATGTTATAGTGTGTCTTTCTATATATTTTATTACTATTTAATTTTAGTTAAAATAGCAATTGACCAATGTCCGAATTGATATCTCTTTCATGTTTCTGGTCTTTTAACTGTTTGGGTTTATACTTAATGTAACGATATATATTACGTAATTATAGTTAACGCGCGTTTGTGCCATGTCGATATCTTTTTCTGTATTTAAACATCTGTTTCCTATGTACAATTTAATATCGCTGATCAAATATTATTATAGAATTATTTTTATCCTAGGCTTGTATATATGTTCTATATTCTAATGTGACTTTAGTCTGGTGACCGGCTCGCACTAGCGATACCTATCTCGTTATTGCGACCGTTAGCCAGTTTTGGACACTCGTTTATTAAAAGTACAATTTTAACGATTTATCTGAGTTTTGGACACTCGTTTATTAAAAGTACAATTTTAACGATTTATCTGAGTTTTCGTCGTTAGTGTTGGAATAAGCTACAATCCTCAGAAAAGAGCACTTTCGCACTAATATAAAGTGAGAATTATATCGGTTGTTGACACTTTAATAAATAAATTAGTATTGTCCTTATTATTTATGAGAATCCCGCTGTATGTTTATACAGAATATCAAAATGGTGGATACACCGTTGAGACTTGAACAACTATTTTAAGACGAGATTCATTAAATGTTCATATATATCTATTATGTTCTAGATACTAATGCTTTGCACTGCAACCGTTCATCCATTCAATTATTTGTGCTATTGAGATTAATCAAGATATTAACAATTGATGACTCGTCCCGTAAGTAAGATTAGAAGTCTCCAAAGTTCTGTCGACTGTTTG